GGGGGCACCGGCGCGGCGGCCACCGGCTGGAAGCCTAGCAGCGCCTGCCGCGAGGGCAGCCTCGCGGCGGGCTGCTCGGGCCGCCTCCCGCCGTTCGCACTCTGCCGGCTCCCGCTCAGCGCGGGGCCGGAGGCGGAGGCGGCGGGGCCCCCGCCGCCGTCGGGGCGCTGGACCGTCCTCCACCCTCCGGCGTCTGGCGGCGGAAGAGGCGCCGCTGGTCTGGCCGTCGGCCCGGCGAGGAAGGCGCCGGCCGGAGGGGCGGCCGAGGGGCGGCCGAGCGCCGCGTTGAGCGCGGCGAGCGGCACGCGCAGCGACGCGGGCGCGGGCCAGAGGCCCATCGAGCCTAGCGCGAAAGGGTGCGCGTCCGAACGGACGTGTCCAGGGGCGTGTCTGGGGCGTGTCGAGTGTCGTCGACTTGTGTGGGGCCGCGGCGCGCCTCGCACGCCTCGCATCGGCACCTCGAGCCTGTGGACGGCGTCGATGCGCCAGCACTTTGGGCCATGGGCGAGTGGGTCGGCGGAGCAGCGCGCGACGGGGAGCACGTCACGCACGTGCATCAACCCGAGGATCGCGCCTACAGGAAGGTTCCAAGAAAGGTCTAGGAAAGGTCTAGGAAAGGTGCATCAACCCGAGGATCGCGCCGAGCGGGTACGCGTCGAGGGACCGCATCGCCTGAGGGACGTGTCGCGGACGCGTCGTGGACGCGTCCTCCCGGCTAGAGCGCGCCTCGGGCGGCTTCTTCGCCGGCCAGGCGGACCGCAGTGCGTCGAGCTCCGGACCCGAGGGGTGGAACGAGGCGGCGGCGTGCACTGCGACCCACAGCCCGCTGGGCGGCAGGTTGGGCGCCCAGCTCCGGTTCTCCACCCGCTTGACGCCCGCCATGATCGCAGAGGCAAACGGCTGCTTGATCGTGAGCGCCTTGAGAGAGCCGCCGGCCGGCCGCGGCAACTTGCCGCCGCCCGAGGTGGCGGCAGGGGCGGCGGGGGCGACGGCGGCGGCGGCGGTGGTGAAACCGTCCGCGCCCGGCGAGGAGGCTGGTGGTACCCTTGCCGCCGGCGGCGATGGGAGCCGCTCCGCCGGCTCCGTCTGCGGCGAAGGGCGCGGCCGCTTGGGCGAGGGCAGCACGGAGGGCTCCCTCTGCTGCAGCACAAAGACGGAGCGGCGGCTCGCCTCCGAGCCGTCGAGCGCGAGGCTGTCGCCGTGGCGCAGCGTTGCCCGCTGGCCCGCGCACAGCTTCCGCCAGCCCACTTCGCCGTCGCGGCGCCAGAGCGTTGCATTGCGGCCACGGCCCTCGACAGCCACGCCGGCGTCGCTCCCTTCGAGCGCGACCTGGACGCGCGAGACGTTGGACGATGCGTCGTCCGAGAGGACGTGGCGCCGGCCCAGCTCGAGCTCGCGCGACGCGTCGACCTCGACGCCGGTCGCGACGCACCGAAAGCGCCACATTTGATGCGAGCGTCGGTGGACACAAGAGTATATAATGCGACCGCGTGCCCCGTGCGCCCCCCGGCGTTCAGGCGCGAAAACGGCAGTGAAAACCTAGGTGCTTAGTGTAGGTAAACGAAAAAAGTAGATTTCAATTCGTCCACGTACGGCTTCGTGAGTGGTTGGGGTGGCCCGTCCCGCAGCCCTCATGCACCAGGGTCATGGGTGCAGTCATAATATGTAGGCCTTCTCTCCCAGAGTTTTGAGCAATAGCCGCAAACAACTTGAGCACTTGAGCACTGGATACTCGAGTAGGGTCGATTCCGCATGGTACGGGACCCCTCGATCGTCTCGCCCTCCCTCACTGGTGTGTTCATTGGGGGGGGTCATAACAAACACGGTACAGGATCGAGGTGCACGCTGCCAAAGCAAGCAGTGTCCTGAGGGAGGGTGTAGAGGATGTAGAGTGTAGTAGAGCGCTGTAGAGATGTAGAGATGTAGAGCGCTCTGGAGCGCTGTAGAGCTGTAGAGCTCTACATCCGCCGCGGGACGAAGCGCCTGCGTTGTAGAGCGATGTAGAGCGCGATTTTGTTGTAGAGCTTGTTGTAGAGGCTCTACAGTACAGCAAAACTGCCGGGAAGGCAGTGACTCAAAGAGGTCGAGTCGCACTAATGGGGTGTCTCCGAGCTTACTGGAGCTCTGATGGACGGCCCTGACTATCCCTGACACACAGAGAGTCACTCTGATGGCACACAACACCCTATAACTGCGTCATGACCAGCCTGCCATGCGTCGCCGGTGCCGCATTCGTGCATTCGTCGCAGTGCTCCTTTAGCAGGCGGTGGACTGTCGGCTGCGAGGACGGTCGCATTTGCGCGAGGCGAGGCGAGCATTCAGACGCGTTGCATGCGCCATGACTCGCGCCAGCGCGTGCGGGAGCTCCTGGCTGAGCGTTGAGTCCAGGCGAGTTGCGCTGGCCACTATCGCTACGCCGAGCCGAGCTGACGCGCCGAGGCGCCGGCCAGTCGCAGCCGTGAGGCATGCCACAGCAGCAGAGGCACCTGCCACCCATTGGGCGGGCAGACGGAAGGCCAGGGCAGCACTGGCAAGTGCAACGCGCCTAATGTCGGAGAGCGACCGTGCCTCGTTCGCCGCTTATGATGTAGAGTTTGTTGTAGAGATTTCACGTTGTAGAGCGCCTCTACATCGCTCTACAACGCAGGCGCTTCGTCCCGCGGCGGATGTAGAGCTCTACAGCTCTACAGTGCTCTACAGCTCTACAGCTCTACAGCGCTCTACACTCTACATCCTCTACATACACCCTCCCTCAGGCAGTGTCGTCCCCCCTCTCCCCGACGGCGATGGCGGTGTGACCGATCGAGCTACAAGAGGAGCTTGTTCAGCAGGATCCGGGATAGTCAGATGCACTACCTCACTGGGCCTGAGACCACCACACGACCCTCCCATCACCGTCTCGGATTTATGTGGAGTCGAACCACTCCGGAATGGGCAAGGCCGACGTCTGCACGCGGCCGGCCGGGCGAGAGGCTTGACATGATCCAACCCTGCGACCCTGACGCTGCTGCTCTAGCTATCAGATAACTGCTGACCGCTGCCACAATGTGTGACCGGTGCTGGCCCACTTGGCGGCCTTCCCGGTCAGTGGTGAGGCGCAGTTCAGAGCTGTCGATGGCGCGATCCGCCGCACTGGTCCCACATCGGTGACACGAGACCACCACGTTTGCCGGTCCAAGAGAGAAGTACCGGCGCTGTCCTGAGAAGGTGCATGGTCCCTCCTGACTGCCCATGCGCGCGAGGCTGTGTAGGCATAGCCTCGAGAGTGCCAGCAGCCAGTCGCCGAGGCAGTTTGTGACGCGCATTCCGTCAGAAGCGTGCACGCGCTGGAAGGACACCTTCCTACTGGCCGTACGATCAGGTCGTCACTGAATGGTGGATACTAAGGCCGCGAGCTATGCAGGTGGTCAATTGTGCAGCAGGGCACGGTCAGCAGCGCCGACAGGCTGTCGCAAGGCGTGATAGCATGACCGCAAGACCGGCGAATTCCTTGAAAACAAGTAAAAAATCGCGCAAAAAAGAAAAAAAAGTCCCGAAAAATCGGCGCCTGCGGCGGGCCGTGGGACCCCATCTCCCCCCCGCATGGATACCCTCTAGGACCCCCGCCTCCCCCCAGAGGTCGCCACGGAAGGCGACTCGGCGCCGCTGAGATCGGAGATCAAGCTCTGACAGGTCGCACGTCGCGGTCCTTTGACGCCGACGTGACTCACCCGTGCAGAGCACATCAGGACACGGTCTCGACGCGTTCGGTACGACGCCTGCGACCCGTCTCGGGTCAGGTGGCACGACGCTCATCGCGCCCGCCAGCGCTGCCGTGCAGGTTGCCACGAGCGACGAGGTCGAGCACGCTTCTATACGCTCGCCCAGCCTTCCTTTCCATCCCATTATAGGCAGCCTGGGAACGGTGGCGATCAGAGGCAAAGCCTACGAGGGGTGGTGGAACCACATGTCACGGCCACCGCCGGCTCTCGACGCGACGATAGCCTCCGGAGGCTGACTTTGAGGCACCATCATCGGACGATGTCGACGAGCTGGGTCGCTCTCGCGGTAGCCAGGTAGCCCCCCATACTAGTAGCACCAGCCATGGCCTCAGGGAGCGCGGGCGAGGGCGCTGGGAGCAACACGGACAAAAAAACATCATCAAAATTCATCACCTGTACCTGTACCTGTACCTGTCGCTCCACACACCAACAACACATGGACATGGACATGGACATGGACATGGACATGGACATGGACATGGACATGGGGCGCCCAACACGTGCCCGGATTACTGTGCCTTCCCCGGGTGCAGCCTTTCGGTTCGTGAAGGGTCGGTGCGTGTCGTGACCCCTGGAACACCCGTACCCCCGCACCATCTCCGTCGCTTGGTTCCATAACCTCTGCCACCACCGGGAGGCGGCCAGGGCTTCATAGACTCGGTCGAGAGACCCCAGATTGGCATCCATGCCTCTCTGGACAGGGTGGCCCGCCACAAGGACCCCAGGAATTGCGACTCGCCGCTTTCCTCCCGCTGCGGGTGATTCTGTGTGAGCTCTGTGTCTTGATTTGCCAACAATATACCTAGCACCACAGCACCCGTGTATTTGCAACTAGCCATCCGCATGCGGAGATCCAGCACACACAAACTTACAGATCACACAATAGTGATATAGGCAGAGCACACACACATGCACACACACAACCAACAGTATCAGAAGTGCAATAAAAACTCGAGCGTCGAGGAAGCCAGGACGTACCTCGTTGTGTACAGAGCTGGTGCTCGTCCGTTGCGAGTGCGCGCAGCGCAAACACAACGCCAATGCTCTCCGAAGCCGGCAGTGGCATTCCGTCAGCAATCACGAGGACGCCGCCCGGCGAGCCGCGCTCTCGCGCCACGTCTCGCGCCACGCCGCGGTCTCGGTCGGCTCAGCGCAGGAGAGGCGCGGCCGCCGCCGCGCGGCGAGGCTGGGCGGCCAGAAGGGGTAGGCCCACACGTAGAGGAAGAGGGAGAGGACGAGGATGCGCGGCGGGTAGACGAAGCCGGCGGTGATGTAGCCCGAGAGGAGGATGTTCAGAGTGTAGTTGACGGGCTCGGTGAAGAGGTCGCCGCGCGCGCCGTCGGTCGACGAGTACGGGAGGACAAAGTAGCCGAACAGCCGGACCAGCGTCCCGACCTTGGGTCGAGGGGTCAGTGGGGTGAAGTCAGGGGCGCGAGGGCGAGGGTCCGCGTCGCGGTCCGGTGGCTTGGGGGTCGAAGTGGCCTGGAGCAGGATCCAGAGCCCGTGGACGTGCGCTGGGTGGATGAAGAGCGTGCGCAGCGCCTCGATGATGCGCGAGACGCCGAAGAGGGCGAAGCCGGGGACCGTGAGGTGCTTGACGCCTAGGAAGTGTCTAGGAAGTGTCTAGGAAGTGTCTAGAGGGCGACGCCGGGGGCGGTGAGGTGTTTGACGCCGTAGACGCGAGGGGTGAGGAGGAAACCGCTCGGCACGTTGACGAGGAGGGCGAGGCCGACGGCGGTGTGGGTGAGCCACTGCCTGTCGGGGCGCAGGATGGCGCACATCCCGACGAAGAGCTCGACCTACAGGAAGGTTCCAAGAAAGGTCTAGGCAAGGTCTAGGAAGATGGCGCACATCCCGACGAAGAGCTCGACCTACAGGAAGGTTCCAAGAAAGGTCTAGGCAAGGTCTAGGAAGATGGCGCACATCCCGACGAAGAGCTCGACCTGTTCACAGGCAGCAGCTGAGAAGACACACCGTTCACAGCTCGCCTGCACATCCGACGAAGAGCTCGACCGCCGAGCCGACGCCGTGCACCAGCACGACGCGGCCGTTGCCTGCAGTGGTGGAGTACGCCAGCCTCAGGGCGGGAGATATGGGGAGATATGGGGAGATATGAGCAGCCTGCGTGGTGAAATACGCCACCCTCAGGGCGGGAAGGCGGTCTTGTGCAGTGTACTCGGAGCAAAGCGCGAATGCGAGGGAGGGCCGAGTGCGCGTCCTCTCGAGCGCTGGTTGGGAGACAAGAACACGTCTTCCGCTTCTAGACTCCGTTGCCGTGCGCCGCGAACTTGCGGTGCGCGCGCCGCACCACCGGCCGCTCGATGACGTACGTCTTGAGCAGAAAGTAGACCGTGGCGACGTACGTGAGGACGCCTACAGGAAGGTTCCAGGAAGGGTCTAGGAAGGGTCCGAGAAGTAGACCGTGGCGACGTACGTGAGGGCGCAGAGGGAGGGGCGCATCGGCTGGGAGACGAAGTCGACCACCGGCTGGTAGTAGTCGAGCCGCCCCCAGACGTGCTCCCGCTGGTGCGTCCAGTACGCGTCCCACTCGCCCAACCGCATCGTCCGGCTCGCCAGCGCCCCAAACGAAGCGACGAGGGCGGCGTCGAGGGCGGCGCGGAGCAGCCGCCGCCGCCACTGCGGCGGAGGCTGTGGCGGCGGCGGCGCGGGCGCGGCGGGACGGGGCGACGCGCGCGGGCTCTCGCCGACGGGGTACGCCTCCGCGGGCTGCGGCTCCGCGGGCTGCGGGTCGGGGGGCAGGCTCTGGTCGGCCGACGGCTGGCGGTCTGCCGACGGCTTATTTGCCGCGGGCTGCGCCTTGAGAGCGCCTCCGGTGTCGCCTCCGGTGCTCTGGCGGGCTCCGGTGTCTCCTCCGGTGCTCTGGCGGGCGGGCTCCCGCGAGGACGTCTTGCGGGGCGACCCCGGGAGGCGGACCGACAGGGCGGGCGGGGCGATCCGGTTCGCGAGGGCGAATGCGGCGAGCGAGAGGAGGAGGTAGTGCGGCGGGTAGACAAAGGCGGCGACGAGGAAGCCCGCGAGGAGGAGCGTGAACGTGTAGCAGAGCGGCTCGGTGAAGAGGTCGCCGCGCGCGCCGTCGGTCGACGAGTAGGGCGTCACGAAGAAGCCGACCAGCCGGACCGCCGTCCCGGAGTGGAGCAGGATCCACAGGTTGGGGAGCAGCCTGGGCGACAGCGCGAGGACGCGCGCCGCCTCGAGCGCGCGCGCGGCGTGGTAGAGCCCGAAGGCGGTGTCGGCGAGGTGCCGGACGCCGGAGCGCGACGAGTGGCGGGCGAGCAGCACGCCGGTCGGCACAGTGACCGCGAGGGCGACGCAGGCCGAGGCGCGTGCCCACGGCACCTGGTACGAGCCTTCCTCCAAGGGGCCCACGACTGATGCGGCCGCCTCGAGGTCGAGCGTCGCGCAGAGTCCGAGCCCGAGCTCGAGGAGAGAGCCCGCCTGCGCGGGCAGGCTGGTCCGTGTCATGGGCGGGTCGTAGGGGCAGGTCTTGGTCCGTGGCATGGGCGGGTCATGGCGTCGTGTGGAGGTGTCATGAGAGCTCGAGGAGAGAGCTCGCCGAGTGGAGCGCCGCCGTCCACGGCCGCTGGACGGCGGCTCCGGTGCGCTCGACGCCATACAGCAGCGCCCACGAGTAGAGTGAGAGCAGGCTGAGGCCGATGGCAATCGACCCGTTCAGGGTCTGGCTCTCGATGAAGTCGAATTGGCGAGGCGCCGAGAGGACCGCCTCGGTCACGTCTCTAACCAGCGTTGCCGGCTCCTCCATCACGACGAGGACGGCGATCACGCAGAGCAGGAGGGCCGTGTCCAGCTTCTTGTGCGAAGCGTCAAACTCTGCGTCTGTCGGCTCGCGGCTCGGGCCCTTGTTTGGCGCCGCTTTGCTCGAATCTGTCCCCGAGTCGGATCGTCTCCGCGCTGGGGAGCGGCTAGGGCGCCGAGGCCTGTCGTTCATCAGTGAGCCCTGCGAGCAGGTCGTCTTGGTGGCGGCGGCGAACGAAACTGGGTTTTCTCGTTTTTCGCACGTCAACCGAGTTTTTCTTTCAGCCCCATCCGCCGCTGCGAGCCGGTTCTTTACCAGGTTGCAACCCTTGTTCCGCACTGTGCTGTGAATCGAGCGGCAACCAACAGCTCTCAGGACCCCCCGGTGCTGGGGTGCTGCCAGCAACCAACCTCACCGGCGAGCGGAGCGAGCCGAAGAGCTGGGGCCAAATTGGCGCTGTGAACGTCGTTTGAACTGATTTTCGGCGGGCACGTCGCACCTACGTGGCGGGCCGCCGGGCCGGCAGCAGGGCGCCCCCGCGCGGATGCCGACGAGGATCACGGTGCGCTATCTGGGCCGCTTGCGGGAAGCCGCATCGCCAGCGCCGTCGCAGCATCGAGCGGCGCGTCCTCCCCTACGAGCGGCCTGTATTGCACCATACGCGTCGGGGCTGCCGACGGACGGGGAACGTCGACGACACAGGGGACGTGCGTACGACGACGCATTTTTTTCTGTCTCTCTCTCTCAACCTAACTCTCTCTCTCTCCAAGGTGTTCTATCATTAAACACCCGGAGGTGGACTGCTGACAGGGTATGCGATTTTAGTGTATGTATGTAGCTCTTACGATTTTGCCGCCCCCCCCCCCCCCTTGAGAACGCTGAACGGGGCTAGCAAGTGCGGGACCTGGGGCAGCAACGGTGCTGCTCAACCGGCGGCAACCAGCAGCGTTCACAGCCGAGTGCGGAACAAGGGTTGCAACCTGGTAAAGAACCGGCTCGCTGACTGTGCGGAACTGACGTATTCCCGGAAAGAGCGTCGACCAAGAGACGTCTCAGATGTCTGCCGCGACGAGCGACTGGATCGCCGCCGCCTCGAGCGGCGTCGTCTCGCGCATCGACGCCGCGCTGCCGGTCCTCCTCGCCTCTGGCCGCGGCGCCGCCGCCGCCGACGGCGAGGGGCTGAGCGCGCTGCACCACGCGGCGGAGCGAGGGCACGCGGCGGCGGCGCGGCGGCTCCTCGCGCTCGGCGTCCCGGTCGATGTCCGAGGCCGCGGCGGCCACTCGTCGACGCGGCGCGTCCCCGTCGGCCACGAGCATGTGCCTCTGCGCGACTTCACGCCACTGCACGCCGCAGCGCTCGCCGGGCACTCTGACGTTGTCGTTCTGCTCCTCACGCACGGCGCCGACCCGGACGCTGCGGATCGGAGCCGGCTGACGGCGCTGCACTGCGCGGCAGCCGCCGGCCGCGCCGCTCCCCGAGCGCTCCGGTCGCTCCTCGAGGCGGGGTGCGGCTGCTGCCTCGACGCTCGCTCGGCCAGCAACGCGACGCCGCTCGACGTCGCGCGCCAGGCGGCGGCGAGGGCGCGCGGCGCGGAGCAAGTTCCCGCCAACGAGGTCGAGGCGGCTGCTCGAGGCGGAGGCGCGTCGCCGCGACACGTCCGCGACACGTCCGCGACACGTCCCAGGCGATGCGGCTCCTCGAGGCGGAGGCGCGCGCCGCCAACAAGTGGCTGCGGGCGGCGCGGCGCGGCGACGCGGGCGCGCTTTCCGCGGCTGCGTGACGGCGGGCGATGGAACCGTCCATGAGCTTTCTCGGAACCTTCCCTGCAGGCGCTCTCCGCGGCTGCGTGACGGCGGGCGCGGCGCCACGCGTCGCCCCCGTCCGCTTCGGCCCCGCCCCGTCCTCTGCGCGCGGGGAGCGAGTCTCCTCGCTCAGCGTATACACCGCCTCGAGCCCGCCCGCGCTGCTCGTCGCCGCGGCGGGGGCGCGCGCGGAGCGGCGATGCACGGAGCTGGGTCCGCGACGCTTCTCGGAGCCCTTTCCCCCGTAGGCGGGCGCGCACGCAGAGGCGACCCGCGTCCTCCTCTCCGCCGGCGCGGACCCGAACGTTGCGCTGCGCCGGCGGTCGGGCTCGTGGCGGAGTGGGGCCACGCCGCTCGCGGCGCTGCTCGCCAGCCTGCCGTACGAGGCGCTGCTCACGGGGAGACGCGGCTCTGCCCTCCCTCGGCGGCTCGACCGCCCTCTCCCCTCGTCGCTCTCTGCCGAGGGCGAAGCGGCGCAGCGGCTCGACGCCTGCTTCGCCGAGACCGCCTCTGCGCTGCTCGGCGCCGGCGCCGACCCGCTCGCCGCGCCGCCGCTCGGCTGGCTCGACACGGAGGAGGGGCGGGCGCTCTTGCCGGACCTGGCCGCGCGCGTCCTCGGCGCGAGGCGGCGAGCCCACAACCGCTACCGCTGGAGGCTGGTCGCGAGGTTGGGGGGGGTGCTGGGCACGTGGCGGCTGCGCGCGGCCGCGCGCTGCTACGCACCGGGCGGCGCGGGCGCGAGCGCGGCGGCGGAGGACTTTGCGGAGCGCGCTGCGGGCAAGGTGAGCAGTAGCACGGGGTGCCCTTGAGTGCTCAGCCCCTTGGAGTGTGAACCTGTGAAGGCTTCGAGCCCTCCGGTCTACTAGCCCTCCAGTGTGAAGATCCGCAGGACTGGAGCGAAAAAAAAGAAGCGAGTGCTGAGTGCTTAGAACCGCAAAAAAAAGACTCCAATAATCTCGCGGCGGAGAGAGGCGGAGTAAAAGCTAAAACAGTAATGCGGAAAAGTGGTGTGAACCAGAGTCCCTCTTGGCGGGAGCGACGTTAGCGCAATGCCTCCCGTGGAGCTGCGTGCCGTCGCGCCGCCCTGCCGTTGCCAGCAGCCGTGTACCCACAAGGCGGTGATTACGAGCTGCGCATACTCAAAGTAGACGAAGCCGCGAAGCCTGGGAAAGAAGAACTCCTTAAAGCCTTGCGCCGCACATGTCGTCGAATGGCTCTCGAATGGCGGGCCCGAGCGCAGCTCGACGGCGGTGCAGAGGATCACCTCCAGTGACAAAATCTCGACGAGCGATGTGGCCAGCCACGCCTGCAGCGCGCGAGAGCGCGACAGCGGCGAGGGTGAGGCCACAGCGGCGGGAATGAGGCTCGAGTGGAGCCGGAGCGCGAGCTTGATCCCGTTGGAGCCGATGGCGATCACGATGTAGGCGATGAGGCGTGCAGTGTCGGGGCATTGGGCGTCGATGCCCTCAAAAGCAAGCGGCTGCAATGGGCCCATGAACATGCCCAAGATGAGCGGCACCAGAGACGTAGCCGCACCGGACTTGCCAAAGCTGGCCGGACGCGTGAAGCTCCGCGTCGTCTTAATCACCATGGTCGTCTCCATCCACAAGCCTGTGAAGAGCGCCCACATGCGTGCCTGCAGCAGCCCGTGGAACGGCTGGTTGACGGCGCAGCCCGTCGGCCACTGCTGCAGCGTTTCATTGAAATTGAAGACCGACTGGAGGCCTGGCTGAAGAACGAGTGCCGTGACCCAGGCGAGCGGCAGGACCAAGGCGAAGAGGAAGCCAATGCACGCCGGGGTCAGGAGGGCGACCATCCAGCGGCGCGGCTGCGCTCCGAGAGTATGCCAGAGATCTCGTGACGGCTATCTCGACCCGGCGCTCGGGATCTGAAGCTACGAGGCCTGGGTCGGGGCTATCAGTGGGCTACATGCCGCTTGCCGCGGCTCCTAGGTCGACGAAACGCTCGCGCTTCACCCTCCCCCCCTCTGACGATAGGTGCCTGCGTCGCGCGCTCACTGCGTACGTCCCTCCCCCCATCGCCGAGCCGCCCGCCGCCCCGGACACGGCCGAGCCGCGCCCGCCCAGCGCGCCAAGCATGCGCGAGGCTCCGGAGCCCGCGGCGGACGCGCCTGCGAGCGCCTCGCTCGCGGACGCGGACGGGAAGGGCACGCCCCCGCTCGAAGCGGTGCGCGACTCGACGAGAGAGAGAAGATGCGATTGGACGAGAGTCGCCGAGGGCTGAGGAGCGCCCCCCCCCCCCCCGCCCCCCATCCCCCCCCACCCCCCACCCCCCCCCCACCTCACTTTGCCGCAGATCGGGCGGGTTCTTCTCGAGCTTCTTCCGCAAGAAGGACACGCAGCTCGAGGACCAGTGCGAGATCAAGTACAACGAAAAGTACAAGGCGTGGATCCCGTCCGACAAGGACCCAGACGAGTGGGCCAAGGAGAACCTCTCGGCGCCGCCGCCGCCGCCCACCGCCGGGGAGGGCGGGGGCGGCGGGCCAGGAGGAGGCGTGGGAGGAGGTGGTGGAGGCGACCTTGGCGGCGGAGCGGCCGCGCCGGGCGGGCCTGCGCCGGGCGGGGCGCCGCAGACACCGCTCGCGGGTGGTGCCGCCGTGCCGACCGGCTCTGCGCGCTTCTCGGCGCGGAGCTCGAACCGGCGCGCGGCGCGCTCGCGCTACGTCGACACCTTCAACGCGGGGGGCGCGGCGCCAGAGCCGTCCGATAGCGATCGCATGCCGCCGCCGCCGGCGCGGCCGGCCTTCAAGGTCTTCACGCCGAGTGCGGCGGCGGCGGCGGCGGCGGCGGCGGCGACGCGCCCAAGTATTTCACGCCGACGATGGCGCCGTCGGGCGGGGCGCCGGAGCAGCCAGCCGAGCAGTGAGCCGAGTGGGCGCGGAGCGGCCGAGGGCGTGTCTCGGGTCGCCGGTCGCCGGGGTGGGGTCGCCGCGCGGAGTGATTGGCTCCTCGCAGGACCTTCGTGGGTAGTGGGGTAGGAGGCGCGGGGCCGAGACGATGTGGCGCACTAGCGTGTTTCTTTCTTTGCTGCTAATGCTTCCCTATATCGGGGAGGGCGGCCCCACTAGCCTCCCCGCAGGCTGCGCGGCCACACACTCACGGAGCGCGGAGGAGGGCGGAGGACTGGCTCGTCGCTCGCGTGGCTCTCACAGTCACACTGACTCTTGTGTGAGTTTTTTGAAGAAATTTCTTCTCCAGCCTTCTGTCTAGTAAACATGAGGTGCTGCAATGAACATCCCCCCAAGAGCACTGCGGCCATCCCAATGGCCACGCACCAATGGGCCGCGCGCTCGTTGCCCCTCATTTCACATTTGGTGGGGCACGCGCCGGTGAGCGGCGTTCGCACACCACTACGCGCTGGGCGCGGGTAGTTTGCACACGCACAGGTTCTCCGCCATGCAGCTCGTATACGAGCCCAGGTTCTCAATCTTGCAGTACGAGCCCTCGCCGAAGGCCAGCTTGCACTCGCTGTCGGTGCGGCAGCTGCCGCTCGACGAGTCTCCGGCCAGCTGGTACTCGCCGATGCCGGCGTCAGGCATCGCCGGCCCGCCGAGAGCATCCACCTCAAACTTCTGCGACGCGCTGAGGATGGGCTGGCCCTGGTACTTGGGTCGCCCCCCCTTGGGGATGTGAGAGTAGCCCATTGGACATGTGGCCTGGCCGATGGAGTCGCCGTGCTCGGTCTGGGTCACCCCGTTGTTGAGGATGAGGCGGAACTGATTGGCGTACTGGTAGACCGCCTGGCGGACGCGATTGACGTAGCCGAGCGGCATGTGCTCCGCGATGGTGCGGTACGGCTGGAAGACGGTATTGTCGCAAAAGGTGTTGTAGTCGGGCACGGCCTGGAGCGGAAAGCTCAGCTCGAACACGTTGATCGACTCGGTGGGCCAGCGCTTCGTGGGGTTTTCGATGTCATCCCTGCACGCGTCATCCTGCAGCTGGATGTAGCCGCACATCTTGAACTCCTTTGCGCCCTTCGCCTCGAGCTTCTCGATCGTCTCGCGCAGGTTGGTGAGCTGGTAGTTGGGGTCCTCCCACGCGGCCGGGATCCTCCCCCTCGCGATATCAACCTTGGGATCCGGGTAAACGTTCTGCTTCTTCTCCGTCAGCTCGCCCGGGCAGGCCGCCCAATGCAGCTTCATGGCGCCGGGGCCGAGCCGCAGGGCCGACGCCGAGCCGTAGACGTACTCGAGCGGGTTCTGGTAGGTGTCGGTCAGCTCGTCGAGGCGTGGGTCGGGGCGGGCGCCCAGCACGAAGCCCTTGTAGTAGTTGTCGACGTTGGCCGCGACGAAGATGTTTGCGGGCGGGTTCTTGGCGGATTCACAAGAAGCGGCGGTGCAATCAGGCCCGGCGGTGCTGAACGCACCGATGTGCTCTGTGGCCACTGAGTTCTTGCCGGTGCCGATTGCGACGTGTAGCAGGTCGATGTGCCCCTCCTCTTGCGCCGCGGTAAAGTCGAAGTCCCCAAACACGTCGCGTCCTTCGGCTGGTTGTACGCCGGGATGTCGGCGAGCTTGAGCTGGCAGTTGGACGCCTTTCCCTTGGCGCAGGTGGCGTCGTCGCTCTCAAAGTGCTTTGCCGCGTCCATCAACTTGAGCGCAAACCCGCGCACGCGCACGTCGTGCACGTCCTTGACGGTAAAATTCTTGTTGCCGCTCAGCCGTACGAGAGTGTCGAAGGTCGCGCCCGATTTGGCCAGCTTTGGGTCGAGCAGGCCGACACGCATGGCGTAGGGGATGAAGCCCGACTCGCCCTCCTGCTTGTTTTGTTCATACAGCTCCCTGAGCGGACCGAAGGAGAATTTTGCGCCGAGGCAGGTCTGGCCCTTGCCGTGCATGCCCTTCATCACGCGGCTCGTGCGCTGACCTTGGTAGGACGAAAGCTGCGGCTGCATTGCCGCCGGGACCTGGTACTCGTAGGTCAGCGGCGGTGTCAGCGCAGCGCCCGGCTGGAGCGTCTTGGTGCGCGGGTTCGCGATGCTGTTGCTGCTCACGTTCGCGCACGGTCTGCAGTCGGAGTGATCCTCAATAACTTCGCAGCAGTTGAGGATACCGTTGTCCGCACGAAAGGTCGCCGGCTTGAGCATGCGCATCGCCATTGTCTTTGCGGTGATCTCAATGGTTGCAAGCTCGCCTGCGACGCCAAAGCCCATCTCCCGGCCGAGGTGCTTGGAGCACTGTGCATTCGGGAAGCTGACGCCCTTGGAGTTTGTTGCCGTTTCGGTGCCGAACCTCTTGTCGGCTCCGTACGACATGTAGAGTTGGTGAAGGCGCGGCGGGCACTTTGGGTTGGGTGCCGTCGCGGGGTTTGCGATGAATGGGTCGAATGACGGGGCATCGAGCGTGCAGCCAGCCTCTTGGATCAGCTTCAGATCGTCGTAGAACTTGGCGCAGTCGACCGCAACCGGGAGGCCGAGGACATCATCGAGCTTTAGCTTGCCCAGTTCCGAGTACTCTTTCTTTAGCTCGCGCAGTTCCTCTAGCTTGCGCAGTTCCTTTAGCATGCCCAGTTCCGAGTCCGTTGTCTCTCCGGAGCAGGACGCGTACTCGTGGTTGCCTTCCTTGTAGCCGCAGTAGCGGCAGGACTTGATGCCACCGGCGTTGCATCCGACCTTAGCCGGACCAACTGAGGGGCACGACAGCGGATCGTACGTCGTGTACTGGCCAGGGTTCTTTGCCTTCACCGACAGGCACGGTTCGACGACTTCTTTGAGGAGGGCAGCGCACGTCGTTGTTGCCACCGGCGACGAGCAGACTGTGGTGTTGCCAACGCGGTAGTCGTTGTCAGTGCAGGTGATGATGCTCCGGTCGATGGGCTGCGCGTCTAGCTGCCGGTGGAGCGGCGCGGCCTCGGAGAGCGCGAGGGAGGCGAGGAGGGCTGTCGTGAGCTTCATGTACGCAATCTTCTCGTCCTTTCGTCGGGCGCGCACTTCTCAATGATCGTGCGGACTCCTTGTCACGCCTTGGATTATTCGGTTTCCTTAGTTGAACAAAACTATTTCTCCCCGTAGCCTTTTGGGGCTGGGAAGGCCCTCGCTCTAAATGCAAGAAAAAGAAAGGGGTGGCGCCGCCTTTGCCAGGCCCCCCGGCCAACCAACTCAACGACGATGACAACAGCGACGATGGCAACAGCGACGATGACAACAGCGACGATGAGCGACAAGCTGCTGGCTCCGCTAGAGAAGTCTCGGGACGCGAGGACCGGCTGCCTGAAGAATGTCTGCCTCTTCCTTCTCTCGCTGTCCGTCCTCGTGCCGCTCGGGCTGGTGGCCAGCGCGGCCGTCGCGGGCCGGCCGCTTACCCACCAGGGCGTGACGCAGCCGCTCAGCGGCCTCAACTTTGCACTCATGCGCTTCGCCCGCGACATCTCTCGTGCAAAGGCACGCCGGCGCCGCTTCAACCAGCGATACGCTCTGGTGCCGCTGCTGCTGGGGAAGGAGGAGCCGCTGCCGCTGGGCGACCCGGACAGCTGCGTCGGCTGCATCTCCTTCACGCGGGACGAGCTCGCAGAGTTTGACGGCCGGCCGCTCCCCGACGGCTCTCCGTCGCCGCTCTACCTGTCTGTCCTCGGTCGGGTGTACGACGTTAGCAGCGGCGGCGCCTTCTACGGGCCGGGCAAGTCGTACCACAAGCTGGTCGGCAAGGACGCCACTAGAGCCTTTTGCACCGGATGCCTCGCGCCCTCGTGCCTCATCTCGTCGACCGCCCACCTCTCCGAGACGCAGAGGCGCGGGGCCAGCTCATATCCCCGCGCGGCCCACCTCTCCCGCCGTCGGCGCTCAGCGCCTCTTCCCTCGCCGGGCCTCAGGCGCGAGGCGCACCGGTGGGTCGAGCTGTACGAGTGGCACGACAAGTACACCCTCGTCGGCCGTCTCCGCGAAGAGGCGGCCGACCCGGCGGAGGAGGAGATGGCGCTCTTCCACGCGCTCGAGGCGGAGCTCAGCGGCAACCACAGGCCGTTCGAGATGTGACATGTATTGATGGGTGGGTTGGAAAAGCGGCGTCACAGATTTGCTAACTCCGCTGTGTGTGCTTGCAGTGTGCTCGGGCCCCGCCGCCCCGGCGCACGGTTGCTGTCTGTGTGTGCCCCCATGACGCACGTCTGCCAGTGCGGGGCCGACGCGTGTTTATAACACATAAAGCCGTATACTCTGAGAGGGCCTCTGATCGCACCGCCGCTCCTCTCGCACCTCGGCACCGGGCCGGCACGGGTCTTGAGTCATCATTGCGGCCGTGTTCCCATGGAGTTCCCATGTGTACAACGCTGTGCGGCGGCAGCTCACTACGTCGCGCCCGCGCGCGCGAGTCGCGAGGTCTGGGAGGACGCGACTCGCCTCTCGGGTCCGAGGTGTCTCTTCGAGAGGACGAGATGCCACATCAAGAACTAAATATTTTCGTGAGAGCCGGAAGTTGAACACTCCCATGGATCCGGATCTCTTCGCCCTTCATTTTGATTCAGGATCAGCTTTTCGGGCATTGACAGGGGCCCGATCTTGGAGCTAAGGTTGAGCTAAAGTTGCTTCTACTAAACTAGTGAGTACACACACCGGCAGCGGGCCAGCAGCACGAGACTCGACACACGAAATTCAGCAGTAGACATAGCAGGCAGCCATTTAGCATGGTGTGCGTCAAGAGCGCGTGGTAACAACGAGGCTCCAATCGCCAATGTCACAGCCACACCGCACTGCGCTGCTCCGGAGGGGACCGCTCACTGGTTTTTTACCACCACGGATTCGCGTAAGGGCACGACGTTTTCGACCCCTTTGGCATCGGCCCTGCCTCAAGTTCCTCCGGGCTGGCGCCGAACATGTGATGAGAAAGAGTGCCAGCTTTTGGCCCGAACAAGGGCGCCAGGTCATTCTCCGTTTTGATCGTGTAGGCGTCCACGATGTCCTTCAGCAGCAAGCGGTACTGCTCATGTTGCTTCTTGTTCGCCAGAATCGTTTCACGCCCGCACCCACCGTCTCCGTGTTTCCCCAGGTTGCAAGGATACTGATTGAGAGGGCGTGACACATTCTTGAGGGTTGTCTTTGAGGACTCGCTGATGGCGAGGAAGCGATCGTAGTGCGTGTAGGCGTGAACATTTTCCTTATTCACCTTGCTAGCGATGTCCTTCTTGTCAGCGATGTACTCCTCCGGCAGCACGCCCCTCGTCGTCAAGACATGCGCGCTCCCCATGATGCGAGCATCGGCGCCTTCGCCCTCGTACACGATTGCGAGAATGTTGCCTAGCGCAGTGGTCAGGTCCGTCACAGCCAAAAGGTTTTGCCCCGCATGGTCCCCAAAGAGAGCCTGGCGGTCCCCATCCTTCGGCCACTGAATCTCCGATTTGAGCGCGATCAGGCCCTCCCACAGCGCATAGTAGAAGTCTGAGATGGAGGCGTACGCCCCTGCCTTCAGCCTGAAGTCACAGTCAGCGTCCTTCGGGCAGTCCTCAACCTTCGGGCAGTGACCGCAGTCAGCTGACCCAGGTGGCGACGGCGGGACTCCATACACAAAGCCCGGGTTCGTGTCCACCTTGTCGGGCGTCTCAATCGCGAGCATCGTAGCGATGACGGAGTCGAGCGCGCCAGAGCCCTCGTAGCCGAGCTCCTTGCTACTCAGCTTGACCGGCAGCGTGTCCAAGTATGCGCCGTTGGTGAAGTCAGGCTCTTTGAGCGCGCTCTCGAAGCTCGTGTTTGGAAGGCCGGCGGCGCTCGCCACGTTCAAGATCCAATTCAGGTGGAACATCTCGTCGATGAAGGTGGCGTGGATGAGTTCGTAGGGCGTGAAGGCGTTGGTGATGTTGACACGCGTGTTGCTCGTCGAGTTAAGGTACGCACCCTTGGCTTGAACCTTCACGGCGTTCTTGTAGCCTGCGTCTCCAAAAATGACCTGCTGCGTCTCGTGCAGAGAGTACCCAGCCGTTAGGTACAAGGGGATCGTGAAGAACTCGACCGCGATCGCGGCCTCCAAGTACTTGTACAGGATCGGCAGGGTCCAGTTTGTGCTTCCAAACTGCTCGCACGGTCGCTCGGCGAAAGGAGAGTCGCTGCAGAGGAATTCGTTGTGCAGGCTGCACGTCACGTTCTGCGCGTTGGCAGGATCGGAGACACTTTCCGCGTAGAGCCACCCGGCCGCAGGCTGTAACAGGCGCGCGAGCAGGAAGGCGGCAGCGAGCGGAGGCATTTGTGTGTATCGAGTTGGCGAGGCGATGGGTCCTGACAAGGTCGGTCAACGTCCTTCCGAGGAATTAATGTCACGCACTTTCGAGCATTTTTAGGGCAATTTCTCACATCCACGGCCTGGCCAGGGATGCTTCACAGTTTGACACGCAATGTTGACCCGTCCCGTATTTTTTTGGGAAGGTCGATAAACAGCCTCGCCAACTCGCGCGCTTGTCCTTCCCATTCCGACAAACCACACACAGAAGCGAAGATGCGGTGTACGATTGCCCTGATGCTCCTCGCTTCGACATACGGCCTGGTTATCTCGAGGTCGCCTCAGCCAGCGACGGCACAGGAGCTGCAACGGCGGCGGCGGAGAAAGGCGAGACAGACAGCAGCGTGCTTGCTTCGCACGGGCCTCTCCGTGTGCTTAGTCACCGCTGCTACATCGCAGGTGTCACGACTTCGCCTCCGGCCACGGCCGTGCATGCACACGTGCGCCATCGCCGAACCGACTGTCGCCTCCGCCACCTCGCCACTCTCGCCGCCGGCGGAGGACATCAGCATCGAGTCGCCCCTGGACTACGACTCGCTCGCCGAGGCTGACGAGATGGAGGCATCAGAGCCGCTCGAAACTCCCTCGGCGAGCGCAGCCCTGCGCCCAAGAAACACTTGGCTGCCATAGAACACACTCCTCAAACCGCCTGCTCGCAGATGATTGACGACGACCCCGTCCTCCGCTTCTACCTCTCCGACCCAGAAGGGTTCGACTCCCTCTTCGAGCGCCAGACATCACGGGACGCCGACATGGCGGACGCTGTCGTGGACGCATGGATGGAGGCGGGCCGCTACAAACGCCGGCCCTAGGCCTAGCTCTATAGCCGTAGTTCGCCACCAAAATTCGATGTCTACTGAGTGTGCTAGTCGAAATGTGTAACGAAACACCAAGCTGCAAGCAAAATGCGCCCGCGGCGAAGATGCCGACTCACACCCGCCCAACACGCAGCTAGGGCGTACGCGGTCTCGGGAACCGTACCCATACTACTCAAAAGTACAATATACTACCACAAAGCACCACTAGCGATTTCGCGCGGAGGGCGTAGTGAAGCGCTGGGGCGCTCACTGTGTGTTATTCGGGTGGGGATCCATCAGTGGTAACCGGCTTTAGTCACAGATCCAAGCTCAGACGCCACACCAACACCACAAACACGCTCACTTCGCCGCTGCTGTAGAGGGCCCCCGGGGGCCCATACTACGTCGAAGTACGGACCCGATCTCGGCACTCACGGGCTGTCACGCGCCCGCGCGCGGCGCGGGCCGCACCGCCCATGCCCCCGGGTCACCGACCCCGCCTCTCGGCCCTCTCGGCCCTCAGGAGCGTGCGGGAGACCGGCGAGGGGCGCGCCGCGCGCCGCCTGCAGAGCCGCCAGAGGCATTGTCGCCTCCGCTGGCGGGGTTCCCGCGCGCCCGCCCGCGCCCGGACCCGCGCCCGCTGCGCCCGCGGGCTCCGGATGCGCCGCCCTCCGTCTCCTTCTTCTCGATGGCAGTCCGCACTTGCTTGTCACGGGTCGGCGGCGTGGTCGAGGGGAAGGTCGCCGGCGGCCGCAACTCCGCCGCCGTCGCTCCGCCGGCTCTGATCGAGTATCGGGCGTTGAGGGCGGCGGCGCAAGACGGGTCTGACGCATCCATCGCCACGAGCCTCGCGACCACGGTCGTGGCACACCTGGCGGCGGCTCTCGGGGCCGTCTCTACGGCGCTCGACGCCGTGTGAGGTCGCCGGCGGCCGCAACTCTGCCGCCGTCGCTCCGCCGGCTCAACCGAGTATCGGGCGTTGAGGGCGGCGGCGCAAAGTGGGTCTGGTGCGCCACACGGCCACAACCCTTGCCACCGCCCTTGCCGCCGCCCTTGCCACCCTTTGCCGCCTTGCCTCCGCCGCGGGCGGCGGTGGGAGCGGCCTGCTGGGCTAGCATGTTGTCCTTGCTGGGGACGGGCACGTGGAACGCACGTTACATGTTCGAACGGCCTCCGGGATTCAAACAAAAAATAGCCAAGGCCCTCTCGCAACCCCTCCGACCCCCTGGGACCCGTGGGCGTCGAAGAGGCGCTCTCGGGGGGCCGTTCTGAGTTCATACTACCTCGAAGTACAATATACTGCGTCAAAGCACCGGCCCTGAGTCCGTACGGCGGGGGCCTCGCGGGATCGCGACTCGGAAGGAGAGAGAGGGGCGCGCGCGCATGGCGGGCCGAGCAGGCTCGGCATATGGTGAACCCCCGATGTCGCGATGCGGTCCCGCTTTTCCGCGATCATTTCGTCCGTCCAAACGAAAAGGAAGCGCCGGATCAAGAGAGAGATTTTAGAAAACCAACAAGAAATCACGACTCTCACAGTGATTTGGGCTCGGCAGCTTGTCAGCGAGGGGGGGGCGGGGCCGCGCAGGGGTCCTCTAGTGCCAAAGAAACGGCAAAACTATTACGTGCAACCTCGCCGACGGCCGCGCCGTCATGCACACATCGCAGGTTCGTGCAGTGATGTCGCTGGCGCTCGCCGTCGGCGTACACGCGACGTGCAACCCGTATTGTGGGGACAAGACGCAGGGCTGGGATAAAAAGTGCGACTGGGGTGGCTGCTACAGCTGCACCGAGTGCTCCGCCCCTGCGCCGGTGTGCAAGCCGTTTTGTGAGGACAAGACGCAGGCCTGGGATGACAAGTGCACCTGGACTGGCTGCACCGGCTGCACCGAGTGCATCGTCCCTGAGCCGGTGTGCAAGCCGTTTTGTGAGGACAAGACGCAGGGCTGGACTGACAAGTGCACCTGGGGGGGCTGCAGCGGCTGCACCGAGTGCTCTTCCCCTGCGCCGGTGTGCAAGCCGTTTTGTGAGGACAAGACGCAGGGCTGGACTGACAAGTGCACCTGGGGGGGCTGCAGCGGCTGCACCGAGTGCTCTTCCCCTGCGCCGGTGTGCAAGCCGTTTTGTGAGGACAAGACGCAGGCCTGGGATGACAAGTGCACCTGGACTGGCTGCACCGGCTGCACCGAGTGCCTGGCCCCTTTGCCGTCGGCGCCGCCCCCCACACCGCCGACTCCGACCGACCCTCCCTCCCTCCCGACCTCACCGTCGGCGCCGCCCCCCACACCGCCGCCTCCGACGCCACCACCGCCGTCGCCCCCAGCGGTGTGCAAGCCGTTTTGTGAGGAGAAGACGCAGGCCTGGGGTAACAAGTGTTACTGGGGGGGCTGCAACGGCTGCTCCGAGTGCGGCCCGTCGGCGCCGCCCCCCACACCGCCGCCTCCGTCCGACCCGGCCTCGCCCTCCACCTCGCCCACGCCGCCGCCGCCCTCCACCTCGCCCTCGCCGCCGCCGCCCACGCCGCCACCACCGGCGCCGCCGCCGCCCACGCCGCCACCACCGCCGCCGCCGCCGCCCACGCCGCCGCCGCCCTCGTCCCCAGCAGGGCCTTGCACCATTTCATCCACCATTGTAGAATATCCCGCGGACGGGGGCGCTGCAGCCACCAACGTTTGCCACCAAGGCAATAACAACTATGATGAGGAAAAGTGCCGCCGTGCACAGTGTCAATTCCCGTTTATGCTTGGAGCTAATGGCCCGTACAACGAATGCATTACGGACTTCATACCAAGTGGAAGGCGCTGGTGCGTCACGACCGAAGGAACTAGTTCCTGGATGTATTGCGATGATTCTGAGGATGTTATCTTGGATAAATGTGAGTGATGCAGCCCGCGCCCCCAACAGTTGCGATCGGGTCCGTAGGACCAAGCCTGCCAAGTGGCGCTGTGCATGGGATGGTGGGAGGGAACGACACGGAAATCGGTGGGCTCTCGAGGATTTTTCGGTGGGCTCTGCGGTGCACGTGGGCTCGAGCCATCACAGCTTGCTGGATGCGAGTTGGCCGGATCCGAGCTGGAGCAGGCGGACATCGCTTCCAGGGAGGGGGGCGCCCTTCTCTCCACAGGGGGGGGGGTCCCTCCCAGCACCTTCACCACATGCTAGGTGCCTCCTTGATCTCCTTGTTTCCGTAGAAGAGTACAAACTTGATGGAAAAAAGCCGTGGATAACGTTCCAGGACGATTTTATATCACAAGGCAGAAGCAGCAGGAATGACACTTTTGACAGAGATGATCACAGACATTAAATGGAGCTGGATTTCTCCTCTCTCTTCATTTCGATTTTCAGCTTTCAGCATTTTCCCTAGTACACACATCACACCGGCGGCGGGCCAGCGGCACGAGACTCGACACACGTCGAACTATCTTCTCAGCAGTAGACATCCCATGCATGGCTTAGGGTACCCCTAGGGTTCTGAGGGCCGGATTTTTTTAAGACCTTTTAAGAAATGAGGAGGTTTGGGGGCTCAAATTGTCATTTAAGAGATTGCAGGCACGGGGGGTCCCTCTTTTAAGACCGTTTAAGAAAATCGGCCTCACCGGCACGCGTCGCTGCGTTCGGCGCCGTTTTCTCCAATACTGCCGTTATTAGGCACAAACCCGCCTCTGAAGACACATCTGTAAGTCTGGTGCACTGGCAGGAGCCATACTCGCATAGGGGACGCGTGCCAGCTGACTGTAGCCAGCTTCCCGGCCTCCGGCGTCTGTGGGGAGCCTCCCGGACCATCGACCTCGGGAGCTCTCCCGCAGCGTTTAAGCGTTTAAGACCGTTTAAGGAATCGGAGGCCCAGCAGCTCTTAAAACCGGCCTAGGCCGGTTTTAAGCCGTTTAAGCCGCAGGCGCCCCAGGGCCCACCCTTTTAAGCCTAGGGGTACCCTAAGATGCATGGTGCGTCAAGAGCGCGTGGTAACAACGAGGCTCCAACCGCCAATGGCACAGTCACACCGCACCCCGCTTCCAATGCGCACAAACGAGGAGCAGGAAGGACGGCCGCCACCTCACGAGCTCGTGAGCCACATCGGATTGGCGTAAGGGCACTTTGACGGCCCCTTCGACATCATCTCAGCCGAGTGCGAGGGCGGGGGCGTTGCCCCGTAGGTTCCGTCCTCGAGCGCCATCGTCTCCGACTTAACCGACGGGGTCGCGTACACCATGTGGGCAAACCATTGAGACTCGGGAAGAGAATTTTTGGTCTCGTTGCTGTATCCATCCACAATGTCCTTCAGCAGGTTGTTGTATGCCTTCTCTTGTTGTAGGTTGGCATTCATCGCCGCAGACTGGCACTCACTTGGATGCCGTTCGAGCGACTTGATGTACGTCGTCTTGTTATCGGGGGGAAGCGACTCCACCCATTTGTTGATGGCGAGGAAGCGATCGTAGTGTGTATAGGCTGCAACATCGGTGGAGTCCACCTCATCGCCGGCCGTGACGTACTCCCGAGGCAGGATTCCTCTCTCCGTCATCACGCGTGCCCCCGACATGATGCGAACATCGGCACCTTCGCCCTCGTACACAATCGGTAGGATGTTCGCTAGTGCGGTAGGCAGGTTCATCACAGTCGGAGGCGTCACCCTGAATCCGTGCTTGTCGTCATCGACTGTCGACCACTGACGGTCTGGGATCACGCCCGTCCAGTTGCCAGGGCAGTCGGTGTGAACCTTGCACTTATGGGTCGAGTACCCCATGCACGTGTTCTTGCCGACGTCACACTCGCCATGCGGCGCACTGATGTTTTTGTTGATCGCAATCAGACCCTCCCACAGCGCGTAGTAGAAGTCGGAAATGCTGCGGTACGCCCCTGCTTTGACCTTTCCCGTTCCATCAAGCTTCGGGCAATGGTCTGTCGGCTCTTGCGATTGCGGGGGCGGGGGCGGGGGTGCAACTCCATACTCAAAGTCTGGGTTTGGAGCGTGCTCAGGGTCGGGTGTCTCGATTGCGACCATCGTCTTGATAACAGAGTCAAGCGCGGCCGCCGGATCCAGAGTACGTGAGGTTGTTGCTACTCCGCAGCCGGACTGGCAGCTGGTCCAGGTAGGTGCCGTTGGTAAGGGGGGGCTTTTTGAGCGCACGCCGAAAGCCGTCTGCATCGAGTCCTGCAGCACTCGCCACGTTGGCGACCCACTTGAGGTGGTACATCTCGTCGATGAAAGTGGCGTGGATGAGCTCGAGGGCGTGAAACTGTTGTTGATGGGCATGACCTGCGAAGCACGAGGGCGTTAGGAGTTCATCGAGCCTCGCAGGCGTAGCTTAAGCCGGTGGGGCGGAGGGTCCGGCTGCTGTCCCTGCATCTACAACCTGACCTTCTTACTGTCAGTGTCGACGTACCTTCCGTTGGCTTGAACCTTCACGGCGTCCTCGTAGCCTGGCTGGCCAAACATGACCTGCTGCGACTTGTGCAGAGAGTAGCCAGCCGTCAAGTACAGTGGAATGGTAAAGAACTCCACGGCGATTGCCTTCTCCAGGTACTCGTGCACGATCTCGCGGTTCCATGGCTGGGCGCAGGGATACTTTTTCAGCGGAGAGTCGCCGCAGAGGACGTCCCACTTCAGGTTACACGTGACGTTCTCTTTTCCCGCGCTGGGATCGGCGGGCCAGCCCGGTTGCCACGAAGCGGCAGCGGGCGCGAGGGCGGCGAGCAGAAAGGCGGAGGTCGCTAGGCGAGTCATACCGATCGGGTGCGCCTCCGAGGCGCGCGAAATTCAATGCCGAATGGGTCCTGACAAGGTCCGTCACACCACCTTCCGAGGCAATGATGTCACGCACTTTCGAGCATTTTTAGGGCAATTTCTCACATCCACGGCCTGGCCAGGGATGCTTCACAGGAATTGGAACTAGAGCGTCCCTATACGGTCTACGGCTCTAGCCAGCCACATAAAGCCGTAGTGCATAGATTATTTCCGATGTCAGTGGCACACAAGGCGCTCCTGACGGCTGTGTATACACGCCCAGTACAAAGAGAGGAACAGAGTGTTTCATGTGGACAGCAGAGTGTATAGTCCACCAGCAGTGGTTTTCCCGAAACGCCTCTCGGTCGTTCACTCCTCGTCGTCGGTGTTGGGGGCCGTCGCGTCGCTGTCGCTGTTGGGCGCGGTGGCGTCGCTGTTTGCTTCGCCGTCCAATGCCTCCGTCCTCTCAGCGAGCCCACCAGCCGGCGCCTCGTCCTCCGCTGCCGCCTCGTCCTCTGTGCGGTCCGAGTCGCTGTCCTCCATGGCGGGCGCGACCAAAGCTTCTGCTGGCGCGGCAGCCGGCACGGGCTCGCTGCTGCTGGCGCCATGCGTCGGCGGCCGGTCCGCCGCCCCAGCTGCTGCCGCCCCCTCCTCCTCGGCCCGACGCCGGAGCTGCGCAAACGATGTCGCCACGCCCTCGTCTGCGGCGGCGGCAGCACCCTCGGCGGCAGCACCCTCGTCCACACCCGCGTCTGCACCCGTGTCTGCGGCGGCGTCTTCGGCGGCGCCAGCATCGGCCGCGGTCTCCCCGGCCTCCGCACTCGCCTTGGCCGCCGCCACCGCCGTTGCCGCCGCCAACTCCTGCGCCTTGACCTTCGCAGCCGCTGTAGCTAAACGCCTCGCCTTGACTGCGGCGAGTACCGCCTCTGCCGCCGCCTCGTCCGCCGCCGCCGCCTCCTCCTCCGCCGCATGCGCCAAGACCGCCTCCTCCGCCGCCACCCTCGCCGCCTACAGCGCACATGACGCCACAGCAGTGAGACTCAAGGTCGGCAATGCGTCTACCACCTGTTGACTCACAGACGTGCCTCGGCCGCCGCCGCTTCTGCCGCCAGCCGCTCCGCCTCCTCCGCCGCCAGCCGCTCCGCCTCCTCCGCCGCGGCCCTCTCCGCCTCGATCCGAGCCGCTTCAGCGACGCGCGCCGCCTCAACCGCCGCCGCCTCAACCGCCGCCGCCTCTGCCGCCGCCGCCTCTGCCGCCGCCGCCTCTGCCGCTGCCGCCTCCTCGAGGCGTGCCTTCTCCGCCACCTCGGCCGCCGCCTCCTCCGCCGCCACCCTCGCCGCCTCTGCTGCGGCAGCCTCGGCGGCCGCCTTCTTCTCCGCCTCCGCCTCTGCCGCCTCCGCCGCCTCTGCCGCGGCCTTCTTCTCCGCCGCCTCGGCCGTGCGAGCCGCCTTGGACGACCTTTCCAGAGGCTCTGCTCGGCCGCGCTTTGCGCGCCCGCCCTCCGCGGCGGCGGGCTCTGGCTGCGCCGCGGCGGCGGCGGGCTCTGGGCCGAGCGTCAGAGCGCCGGAGGCGACGGCGGCCTCGATCTGCTGCAGCAGCGCCGCTTTGGTCGCCTTCTTGCCCGCCACCTCGATCCCGCCGCCCTCGAGCAACGCGCGCAGCTCGGCCACCTTGAGCGAGCCGAGCCTCGCACGCTGCGCCTCGTCGAGCGGCGCGGGCGCCGCCTCCTCATCCTGCGCCTCCGGGGCTGACGACGACGCCTCGGGCCGCGAGGAGGGCGCCGGCGGCGCCTCCCAACGCTCCACCTCCCTCCAGATCGTCTCGTCGGCAGCCGACATCTGCCGCCATCCGCCGTCGGGCGTCGCCTCGTCCGTCACCCACGCAACCACGCGCCCCCCGGCCACGCTGACGCGTGCGCCGGTGCCCTTCGCCTTGAAGGCGTCCTCGAGCGCCTCGTTGTCGGCGGCGGGGAACGGCAGGTAGAAGCCCGCGCAGGACGCGCCGGCCTTGCCGCTCCAGCCGTCGAGCCACACGCGCCACACGCCCTCGCCGCGCTCGAGCCTGGCCAGCGTGGTGCGCGCACGCTCCTGCCACTCCTTCGACATCTTTGCCGCCTTGAGCGCCCCCCACGCGTCCTTTGCCGACGGGTCCTGCGCAGCCGCTCGCGCGGTCGCCATCAGGTCGCAGTTCGCGAGCGCCGCCGCGTACTTGTCACGCTGTGCCGGCGCCCGCCCCTCGCTGTCGGGGGCCATGAGCTTGTCCAGGAAGGCGGCGTTGTCCATGTCGTCTCAGTTTTGCTCGGCAACTGTCGAGCTTGGGCGGGCCTGGAGGCGCGGCGCGGCCCAGTGTTCGCACAAAGGGCACGCGAGGTACGACCGTGCCCGACAGTGCTATTAAAATGACTCGGCTCCAAATGGCTGCAGTCGAGTCACACGCCGTGGAACATCCTCGGCTCTTCACACACCGACTTGCACATATACCTTTCATCCACAGCTCCGTCCGTGAAAACACCGAAACAACACCAAGACGACGCTCGTCCACGCACGTGGACACCAGCGTCCTGCTTTGCCATGATGCCACAACCAGTGACTGATGGACCAAACGACAGCGATCCGCGTCACAGAGCTGCGACCGAGGGTCAACATTGCCCGCTCCCTCGCGTGAGACCGAGTGGTCTCCACGAGGGTGACGGAGGGGAGCAGCACCATCCGGAGCGCCGAAAGGGACGGATGGTGCTGGTCTACAACGCGAATTACGAGCTCGTACTCGTCCCAGCGACGACGGCCGAGATCCTCCCCGAGCGAGACGAGCGCGCAATGGGCGGCAGCGGGCTTGAGGAGCACCCCGGTGTCACAACCGCACCGCAGCCCGTCCAGCACGTGCAATGCTCAACTTCAGCAATAGCGACCAGCCAATATTGGACCGACCGAGGGGCCGAGCCTGCGCTGGCGCATCTACTGGCCCAGGCGGGCGTCCGAGAGAGCGCGGCGACCGGCGCCGAGCCGATACCTGGCTCCCTCGATGGCTTCATAGCAACACCACATGCGGGCCTGCGCAATGACCCTGAAGTGGTCGACGCACACCGCCGCGCTGTCGAGGCCAAGCTGGCGTCAGCGAGAGCCCTTGCGTCGGCTCGCCAAGCGGCTCTTGAGTCTCGCATGGAGAAGCAGCGGCCCGAACCCGCACGCGCGGAGGCGGCCAGTGGGCAATTGTCTGGTGGTGTGACTGCACGCGAGGACCACAACACACACCCACCCAAGCGGCCGATTACAATGGTCGTCAACGCTCTCGCGACAGGCCCAGCGACGAGCGTCCCGCGCACGACAGCGCAGCAAACCGAGCAGATTGCCAAGGAGAAGCAAGCCGGCCTGCTTGCCATCCTGATTGGGTCAGACCAGGTCGCACTGGCCTGCGGCTACCGGCTGGAGGATGGCAGGTCCCCAATCACGCCCTGGTAAATGTACAAGTCCGTCCTCGTAGTGCTGTGCTCGCAGTGAAACTCGTGCTCCACAGCGCCGCGCCCCAGCTTGCCCCTACTTTTAGCTTACTGGGACAAAAGGGAGAGGGGGTTGTGTTCTCTAGGCCCCTTATCTTGTTTTTAAACCAACACACAGAGCTCATCACAGGATCAATGAAAGAAAGAAAACACAACCCGAGGGAGGATCAGAAAGAAAGAAAGAAAACACACAACCCAAGGGAGGGATGGGAGAACGGCACGCCGCCACCACACAGGGATTTTAAGGAGAGGAGTGTGGTGCGCTAGCCGTCGCCCACCCTGGGGAGTCTGCCTCTTCGTATCTCTTTTCGCAGTCTCTCGCCGCTTCTCGCTGCAACCTTCATGCCACCTCGCGGCCGTCCCACTCTCAAGGGAGGATCACAGCGGGATGAAAGCGCCGGATGTTTTCCTTGTGATTTCGCCCACCCAGCCCATCGCTGCCTCCATCGCTCCAGAACACCCGCCCGAAGATGCTCTCATTGCTCTCCCTCTACCCCCTTTCGCTCGCGCTGGCCACGAGCCGGCCTCCCGTGGGCGCCGCGCTCGAGGCCGCCGTCACTCCGAGCGACATCTTTGCCGCGGCCGAGCGGATCGACCCACCTTACCCGCCCTACGAGTTTTCGCACCGCCACATGGAGCAGGACGTGCACCAGCGCAAGAGGCAGTCGCTCGCCTCGAATGCGCTCGGCCGCCTGTCACGGCTCCTCGTGGGAGGCGGATGTGATGCCGCGCGGTCGGCGGCGCTGCGAGACGCGCGGCTCCCGCGGCTGCTGCTGTGTGCCGCCGTGCCGAGCGCGAGCGTTGCCGACGGCGCGTGCGCCTCGCTCGACACCGTGGTGGCGCGGCACGTCGCCACCAGCCTCGCTGCGCTCGCTGCCCTCTGCGCCGCCGACGCGGCCAGCAGCAGCAGCGTGCATGGCGGAGCCGCCTCCGAGGAGCTGCGCCCGCTGTGCGGCGGCGCCCGGCTGCTAGCGGACCGGGCCGACGCCCTCGCCGAGCGCATGAGCCTCGCCAGCGCCGTCTCCTCGCGGTGGGCTCCTTGCTCCCCTCATTCTCTTTCTTCGCTCTGCTTCCCGCCTCATTCTTCCGGTCTCTGCCGCACTCTCCCTCACAATTCGCCTCTTCCTCTCCTGCTCCCCTGCAGGTGGGCGGCACGCCGCCTCTTCGGGACCGACGCGGCGGTGCCTCGGCTCGACGCGCGGGCCGCCCACCTGCAGGGGAGGAAGTGTCTAGGAAGTGTCTAGGAAGTGTCTAGGTGCCTCGGCTCGACGCGCGGGCCGCCGAGCTGCCGTACGACGTGCTGCCCGGGCTGGTGGCGCTGCCGGCGGCGGAGGAGGGGGCACCCGCTCCGCGGGCGTGGCTGCCGTCCGTGGCGCGCCTCGCAGGCAGACTGACGGCAGAGTTAGGGTCAGGGGAAGGGTTAGGCATAGGGTCAGCCGTCCGTGGCGCGCCTCGCAGGCAGACTGACGTAACCCTGCACCCTAACCCCAACCCTAACCCTAACCCTGTCCCTCCGCTTAACCCAGCCCTAACCCTAAACCCTACCCCTCGCAGGCAGGCTGACGGCGGAGGGTTTCGCTTCGGTGATCCCGTTCGAGCAGCAGGCGAGAGGTTGCTGCCTCCTCCCCTCCTCCGCCCCGCCCCTGCCCTCGCCCTCCCACGCCCTCCCCTCGCCCCCCCCCCCCCCCCCTCCACCCGCCCCCCTCCGCCGCAGGAGCTGCTCACGGCCGCAGGCCAGCGCGTGCGCGAGCGGCGCTCCACCTGCTGGCTCGCCGAGTGAGTGGAGGAGTCTCGAGTCATGCGCACCACCCTTCCTTCCACCTAGGCGCTCCACTTGCTGGCTCGCCGAGGCCGGGATCGGCGCGTCGCAAAGCCCTGCAAAGCTGTCGCCTCTCGCGGACGCTTCCCCGAACCTTCTCGGAGCCTTCCTGGTGGCAGGCGCACTCGCCTACTCAGGCAAGCTGATGCCCCCCTCGCCGCTCGAGGCGTGCCCCCTGGTCAAGGAGGCGAGGCACGCCCACGGCACGTCCACGACACGTCCACGACACGCCCACGACACGCCCACGACACGTCCACGACACGCCCACGACACGCCCACGACACGTCCATGACCCACGACACGCCCACGACACGTCCATGACACGTCCATGACACGTCCACGACACGTCCCTCTGGCCGAGCAGGTGCGAGACGCGCTGCACGACGACCTCGGCCTCCGCTTCGACTGCGCGCGCCACCCGCCCCGCCGCCCCGCCGCCCGCCCCGCCGATCCCCTCTCTCGGCCGATCCCCTCTCTCTGCCCCTCCCCTCTCTCTGCCCTTCCCCTCTCTCTGCCCCTCCCCTCTCTCTGCCCATCCTTCTCTCGGCCGCAGGCGCACTCACCAACCTCTACGCGGCCGGCGGTACCGCGGCGTGTGCGTGGCACGCCCACACCACGCAGCACGGCGACACGTCGACAGGCACACCATGTGCGTGACACGTCCACGACACGTGTCCCTCAGGCACCGAGACCCGGAGCACGGCGATGCTGCCGACGGCGCCAAGTGGAGCCGCCGCACGTACGTCCTCTCCGTCGGAGAGACGCGCCGCTTCGCCTTCCGGCCGCGGCGGGAGGGCGCGCGGGCGGGCCGAGGGGGGGGAGGGGAGGGGGGAGGGGAGGGGGGAGGGGAGGGGGGAGGGGAGGACGAGGGGCGGCATGTGCTCCCGCTCTTCTCGGGCGACGTGGTGACGATGGAGAGGCACTGCAACGACGCGTACGAGCACTCGGCACCCCTGCGGAAGGGGCGCCCCCCTTGGCTGCCTCGCCGCCCCCCCCCGGCACTGCGGCTCGGCTTTGCCTCGCATAGGTTCTCGCGGCGCAGGGGGGCGCCAACGCGGGGGCGCGCGTGTCGGTCGTCTTCAAGCAGGCGGCGGGCCGTAGCAATTAATGCGCACTCCTTGCTCTCAGCACCGAATCGTGTCGCTCAGCCGCTTTCTCTCGGCTGGTGCTTGTGGCGGTCAGTCGCCCCGTCTGGAGCAGGCGCTCACGGGGCGCGACGGGAGGCGAGGCCACAGCGTGGAGGGGGAGGGCAGGCGCGCGCGGAGGAGGCAGCGGCGGGAGGGGGAGGGGGGCACGGAAGCCGCGACGAGCGGAGGCGGCCACCGCGGGCGAGGTTAGTCTCGCCCGAGACTGCCCGATGGACCGAGATGGACCGAGATGGACCGAGATTGGCCGAGATTGACCGAGGTCGACCGTTGCGGTCGAGGCTCGTGACACGTCCACGACGCGTCCGCGGCACGCGGCCCACAGGCGCCGCGCGCGGCCGGCGCGGCGGCGGCCGCGGCGGCCGCGGCAGTCAGCCGTCGCGCAGGCGCCACCTGCGCAGCACGCTTGTTGCGCTGCTCCCCGCGCTCGCCACGCCGCCGCCAGCCTACGGTCTCGAGGTTGCGCGTCGGTCGGACGTCGCGTTCGAGCAGCAGCAGCTCTATAACCCGCCTCCGCCCGTCACCTCATATCAGCAGCAAGTGTCGGACGCGATCACTATCCAGACAATGAAAGGGGCGTGGCGGCTTGAGGAGAGCTTCAGCGGCAGCGGCGCGTGCGCTGCGCCTCTCCGCTCCTCAAGCCGCGGCCCCGCGTCCCCTCACACCTCTGGTTGTGCGTAGGGCGGAGGACGAGCGGCAGCCTCCTCCTCGCGCGGCGCGGAGAGAGCGCGGCGCCTTCCCGGACCTTTCTCGGAACCTTCCTGCAGGCACGCTCCTCTTCCGCGGCGCGGAGAGCGCGGAGCGCGGCGCGGTGGCGTACTCGGGCGAGGCGGGAAGCGGGCGGGGGCCGTGGATCATCAAGGCACTTAGACACTTCCTAGACACTTCCTAGACACTTCCTAGGGCCGTGGATCATCAAGGCGACCTTGTGCACTTGCAAACGCCTGGGCTCTCTTGCGTTGGCTGCAGGACGGGGAGGCGAGGGGATAAGTCGGCCCCTTGCCTTCCCCCCCCCGCCCCCCCCCCCCGGGGACCCGCCTCGACTGGCTTGTGGAGAGGTGGTGACCTGCCGGACCCTGACCTCAGGCGGACGGGTTTGGCCGCAGCCCGGCCGGCCGCGTCGGCGGGGCGATCGAGCGCAAGGGCCTCTGGAAGCTGCGCCGCGGTGCGGCAGGCACTTTCACCTACGCTGGCCGCATCGTCGTGACGAGCTATGCTGCCGACGGATTGCCGGTTGCGTCTATCGAGGGCGAGATCATCGAGCTTGTCAACGGGGGCAAGCCGAAGGGAGGCTCCGAGAGGAGGGTGGGGACGTTTTTCGCGAAGCTCGAGCGGAGACTGACCGCCGCAGAGGAGGCAGCGGCGTCAGCAGACTCGGCGGCATCGGGGGGAGCGCCCGAGGCGTTGCAGGTGACGCCGGTCATGGATGGGCGCTTAGTGTACAAACAATGAGATTTCCTTACGTTATTTTGCATACTGAGGAGAAGCATACATGTAGAGAGACTCCCAGTAAGGGCCCGGGGGCGTGCGCGGTGGCGGCCGGGTGCTGTGGGGGCGGGGTGCGGCGTGCGGGGTGCCCCGTGTGTGCAGCGGGGCCGGGTGCGGGGGTGGCGCGGGTCGACGGTCGTGCGAGGTCCGAGGACCGAGGTATTTTTTGATAATTTGGTTATATTTATGTATGTAAAAGAGGAATGCAGTCGAGAGGACAGGGGAGGGACGCGGCCAGAAAGAGAGAGGGCGGCGCGGGGCGCGCTCAGACCTCAGTGATGCCTCTCAACGCACGAAGATGGGGGGGTCGCCCCCCCAGACGTGGGGACGTCAACGCGAGGCGGCTGGGGGTTTCTCCTTTCTGTTTTCTTATTCGTTTTCAAAAGGCAACTTTACCAGCCTGGGCTATCCCCTTTTTGGTAGCTTAACCACCTGCGACTTCATGAGTCATTTACATTGCATGCAGTGTCGCAAGTCCAAGTCAGTATCGCCCCCGGGGCGCGCCTTGTGCCGAGGAGCCCTGTCCCCTGAGAGGAGCCCCACCGCCAATCGTCGGCCTCTATCTAGTTGCTCTGGTAGTAGGCGGCATCGCCAAACCCCAGAAGTCACACGTCATTTGAGGTGTGCCCCGATCCGCTGTTGCCACCCCGAGGCGCCCGCGGCGCGCGCCCGCCCGGCTGCCAGTAGGAGGCGGCGCAATATGGCCATAGTACAGCCCTTGAGGAGGAGGAAGAGGCTGGCTGGCAGTGCTGTATGCCGCCGAGGGGGCAGTTTTGGGGTGCTGTCACGGGCCCAGGGGGCTGCAGAAGGCGTCCGCAACCGGGACAACCCGCCCCCCCAGCCGAGGCCGGTCGAAGCCCACTTGGAAGCAGCCATGAGGAGTCCTCTTGGTGCTCCTGGCGGTCGTTCAAAGGTCGGGCGCGCGCCGATGGGGGGTGGGGGGGGGTCTTGCTTGCTCCACACCGAGCGCCATCGGTCCGGACCGGCGTGACCAATATGAGGGTAGGCCTGCACAAGGTCTGAGCCGCGGCCGCTCGGCGCCAAGTGCAGTGTCACGCTCGCGCACGAAGGGGGACACAATGGGAAATTCTCGTTTCCTATTCACTCGGTCCCCCAACGGAAGAGGCCTCGCTCCTATTGGAACTCTCCAACATCAGATTTGCCTCGTGCGTCCCTTTTCGAGCCGGAAAGCTATTTTCTTTTGAGGGTCCTGTGGGGAGGCCGACTTGACGGGCGCATGGAGATGTGATGCCTCCATGCGCCCGTCAAGTAAAAATCGACAATGCAGCTCGATGGTTATTGGTTTGCCCGAAAAGGTAAGACACATCACACATGGCGGCGTTTGTATCTAGAGAGAGCGCCAGCGAGGCCCGCGCAGAGACGCACACCATAGAGCTATGCCCCACACGACGTGAGCCCCAAAACTCGCCATCAGATAGAGTCGCAAGAAGGTATCTCAGCAGATAGCTCACCCGAGGTGGCCAAAGCCAAACAGGGCCCAGTACTCTGGCGGGCTGATCGTGACTGCCGATCCGTACGTGAGCCCGTCGAGCAGCACCGACACCATCGGGAAGGTGAAGCCGACGATGAGGACGAGCAAGTCCTGCTCGAGCGTGACGAGCTTGCGGTCGCGCAGCGTCTCTGAAAACATCGAGAGCGCGTACCCCATCGCCGAGGCGATGCCGTAGTGGTACATGGGCGTGCTCTGCATCGGCCACTGTGCCGTGCACTGCTGCAGCCAGGCGGCGCCTAGACAAAAAGAAACACACGTCGGGGGGAAAGAAACGCACGCAGCACAGGGCCCTGCCCCAGCGAGGCGGCGCCCCCGAACGGGATCGAGTACATGAAGGAGAGCTGCCTAGGCGACACGTGTGTTGGAGGGAGTCAGGCGGGACTGCGCCGCCAGCCAGGCCGCGGCGAGGGGGGGGGAGGAGGGCGCGTCAGGTTCGGCCACGAGGCGAGCCGGTAGAGGATGGCCTTTTGGCGCATCTCCTTCTCGGGGACCTTGACCCTCCTCCGCTCGTTAGCCTGGAAGTTCTGCTGCAGCATCACCTGCAGGGGCAGGGCGGCAGGGGGCGGGGGCGGGGTCAGGGCGGCTGCGAATTGTGAGGGTGAGGGTGAGGGTGAGGGGGTGGGGGCGAGGGGCGACCTCCCAGTTTGCCGTCGTGCCCGCGCACACGAGGGCCCAGAACCTGTTCACAGCTAGAGGTGTGAAGAGACGCTCTTCACAGCCCGCACACACGGCGGCCCAGCCCCTGGGAGAGGAGGAGAGCGGGGTGGGACCGGAGGACCGTGCGAGTGCAGGGGCGGCCGGGCGCGGCGGCTAGAGCCGCGGGCGGTGCAACGGAGTGCAGAAACGGCGCTGCGGATTCGGTCGGGGGGGGGGGGGGGTTCTGTCCGCATCTGTCGGCGGGCGCAGGAAGATAGGAATATCGAAGGGGCGCAGGAAGTCGGGGTAGTCGCCGCTGAACCACCAGGCGATGTAGAGGCACATGGTGGTCAGGCCGGTCCCGCCGAACGTGAACCCGTTCGCCTTTAGGTCGCGCATGTCGAGCATCTTGTTCGAGTTGAACTTTGACATAGGCACCGCAGACAGCGCATTCACCAGGCCGGCCACGAGGAGAGAGGTGAGGAAGGGGCCCGAGGTGGCCATCGGGACGGAGGTGTCGAGCGCGTTGGTCACGTGCGAGTAGACCAGCCACGGGATCCCGAGGAACAGAAAGTACGCCCCGCTCACCGCGTGGATGTGCATGAAGTCGGCGCGCGTCCACAGCCGCCGCCGCACGGTCCCGGTCGGGTCGAGGAAGACGAGGAAGGAGCCGAGCAGGGCCGCCAGGCCGCCGTCGTCGTCCTCCTGCCCCTTGAGCCGCTCCATCACAACCTTGGAGTTGGCGTCGCCGATGACCGCCGCGTCCATCTCAGCCTTGACTCTCGCTCTCCGCTCGTCCTCCGTCTCGTCGAGCACGACCACGCTCGCCTCCTCGAAGCCGGCCTCCTCCTCGTCGTCGTCGCCCTCCTCAATCACCGCCGGCCCCACCGCCGCCGCCGCCGCCGCCGCCTCCGGCTCATGCTCCACGAGCGTCGCCGGCGCCATCGGCGGCCGCAGCGGCAGGTCCGCGACGTTGACCTCGCGGAGCAGCGGCGCGGCGGCACGGCGCGCGCGGCGGCTCAGCCGCGGCGGCTGCAGCGACGCCAGACCGCAGGCGCGCTCAGCGAGCGCGCAGCACAGCAAAGCCAAGCCGAGCCGCATGCGCACCGACGCCGCACCTCTCGGATCGTTCATTACGAAAGAAAAAATTAGCGGGAAGAGCCGCTAGAAAATTTCTTTCCTTCTGCGGCCCCCAATGAAAGTGGCGTTGCTTCTCGCGTGCACCGCCCTCGCCTCCGGGCTGCAATCTGCGATCCCCACGCAGCCCCTACCCCTGGCCACGCGGCGGCTCGTCGCCGTCCCGCGCGGCGTCGACGTTGCCCTCCCGTCGAGGCATGCGCGTGCTTCCGCCGGCCGCTCCTCACCCTGCTGCATGGCGCTCGCCGCGGCCGACGACGCGGGGCAGCAGCTGGACCTCGGCGCTCTGGGGCGGTACTTCTTCGCGGTGCTGATGCAGCTGATCGCGCTAACGTTCGCCTTTGGCGTCCTCGACTCAGCGGGCTACGCCTCGCCGCTCGGCCCTCTCCCGGCGCCGGCGGCGGGCGGGGTCTTCCTCGCGATAAGCCTGCGCTCGCGCGTCTTCAGCTCGCTCGACGACTCGGCGCCAGAGGAGCGCGTCACGGCGACGGCGGCCGAGGACGAGGCGCTCGAGGCTGCCCTCCGGCCGGACGGCGGCGGCGGCAAGCCGATGAAGAAGACGGCGCTGCGGGCAGAGTGTGAGGTGGCGACCCTCTTCCGCCCTGCCGTTCCTCTCTCTCTCTCTCTCTCTCTCTCTCTCTCTCTCTCTCTCTCTCTCTCTCTCTCTCTCTCTCTCTCTCTCTCCCTGTGTGTGTGTGTGTGTGTGTGTGTATGTGTGTTTCAGCGCGCGCTCTCTCTCCGCCCACGCCTCACACGCCGCCTCGCAACGGACAGGCGCGCGGCCTCTCCGTCGACCGCACGATGCCGGCAGAATTGCAGCCAACCTCGCGCCCCTCCCCACGACACTCGCACCGGACCGCCGCAGCGCCGCCCCTCTGCAGGCGGAGATGCTACAGGCGCGACTCCGGCTCTACTTTGAGTCGCGAGCCCGGCAAGCCGCAGCCGCCGCCGCCGCCATCACGCCCTCTTGGGCGCCCTCTGAAGGCGCCCGCACCTCCTCTCTCTCGCCTCCTCCGCCTCCTCCGCCTCCTCCCCACCTCTCTCCGCCTCTCCGCCTCTCCTCCTCTCTGCCTCCCCTCCCTTTTCCGCCTCCGCCCCAACGCGTGCCTCAGCTCCCTCCGCTCCCTCCCAACACCCGGCTCGGCCCCTCGCCTCTGCCCCGCACACCTCACCTCGCCCCGCCCGCACCCTGTTCCGCCGCAGACTCACTCTCCCTCGCGCGGGCGGCCGCCATCGCGCCGCTGCACGCGCTGGTCGCCTCACACCGCTCGCTGAGGCTCGCCGCCCCGGCGGCACGCTGGCCGAGCGGCCCCTCTCCGCCGCCCGTCGCGCGCAGGCGTCGTGTCTCGTCTACTCTTCCTCCACGGGACGGCTCAACGAGGGCCACTTCAACGACCCGGTGCGAGGCCCCCCGACACCACCCCAGAGGACCCGAGAGCACCCCAAGGAGACCCGAGAGTCTTGCGAGGGACATCACACGACCCCGTGCCGCCGCCCTCCGCTCGACCGCCTCCTCGAGGAGGACACGTCCACGACACGTCCACGACGCGTCCACGACACCGCCCCACAGGTGCTCCTCTGGCTCGCCCTCCACCTCTGCCTCGAGGACACGCTCCGCACCGCGCAGGCCGCAGAGGGGAGGGTCGGCGCCGCGGTGCCCGGCTCGGCCCTCGTCTGCCTCTCCGCCCTCTACGCCGCCAAGCAGTACTCCGACGTCGCGCCCGCCGCCGGCGCGCTGCTCGCTCTGGCGGCCACGTGGAACGCCGTCGCCGCCGCCGCCGCCGCCGACACTTGGCGGCTGAACAACGCCGTCCGCGCGGAGCCGCTCTACCCTCACAAGGTAGCGGGCATGCGCAGCCAGACCCGGCTGACCATCGAGGCTTTCGAGGGTCTGTAGCCCTGATAGGAGATTCTAGCGGAGTGAGAGCGGCGAGAGGAGTGAGAGGGAGGAGAGCGGAGGGCAGCTGGCAGAGTCTAGAGCTCCTAGGCCAGGGCGGTGGCGGGGGGGGGGCGGCGGGGGCCGTCGCCATACGGCTTTATCCTTTTATAGCGCGTGTACATCTCACCTGGTATTTACAAACGCGTTCGCAGAGTACATCTTCTTCGTGGTGTAATGCTGCAGCATCCTCTGCACGCCGATCGGCAATTCGGCAAAGGCGGCGTAGGATAGCACTGCCACCGTCGCCCGTTCGGACACCACCCGTGCTCGCACGGGTGGCACTTGGAAGGCACCGAAGAAATGGGAGCAGCTGTCGAGTGGGCCCGCACAAGCTACATCCGTGGAATGCTCCACCTCGGCAATCTGCAGGACCTCCGAGCCTGGCTGGTTTAGCTGCCTTTGACCTGCGCCAGCAACCTCGGGAACGTGCTGGCTCATGTTCCTGCGCCAGCTGTTGGCGCTCGAGATCAAGTCGACACGCCCCGCCAGCACCCAGACCAGGGGCGCCCGCGACACCAAGTCGGCGTTGATGAGAGGGCGATTGGGTGCGGTTGTGACGAACACGTCGTCGCCGCGCCTCAGCTGTTGGCACTCTAGCGCCTGCATCAGCCGTGGCAGCACCTGTTCCGCGTCGTACTCACCCGTGTAATTGTGCAACCAGCTGTGCACGTCGTCCGCGACGGGAGCGAAGCATGAGTCACCAACCACGCGCCGGACCAGTGCCCTCAGGCTCGTGAGATCGCGATTCCGTGCCGTGCCCTGCAGATGCGCGCAATCGCCGCCATGCGCGGCGAGGAACTGCACAAACAAGTGCTTCTAGCAGGAGAGGTGTGAGGAAGAGATGGTAAGGTAACGTAAGTTTCCCCAACCTCAGGAAGAGAGCCCGCGGCGGGCGTTACGCGTCGAGCGAGAGGCAGCGGGCTGCTCAGCCGACAGCATCGAGGCGGCCACAACTCAGCAAGCGATCGCGCCAACTCTGACCCCACTGGTGTCCAGGTAACCTTTTGATGGGCAGCAAGTGTGGTCGCCGCAGTTGCTCCAGTTCGCGCAGCCAGAGCTCACGGGGCGGATGTTGAGGCCACCCAACCCCTCGCTGTGCATCACGAAGCAGGAGGCACCCCACCACAAGTCGTAAATGCCGAAAAAATAGAGTAAGGCGACGACGAACGCGCCGATGAACACAAACGCGAGGGCAGTTGCAGCCTTGGAGAGGGGCGTCGGGCTTCTCCTGTTGCAGAAGACGACCAGTGCGAGCACCGGAGAGAGAAGGCAGAGCACGAGGAACCCCTTCGACAACATTCCGTGTAATTGTCTGTTCGGGTCCGAGATGTACGAGTAAGGCACGACATCCACCATCAGAAAAAAGAAGATGACCATGTTCGCGAGGTGGCAGAAAAAGGCTGCGGACGAAAGCATGGCGGGGGTTGCTGATGGCTGGAGGCCGCAGGGCTCTCATGGGGCCGGCCACCTATGTCGTGGGCACATCGAACTCGCCGCACACAGGATTCCTGCGGTTCGAAGGGATCACGAGCGCGTCTTGGCAGGGCCAACAGGCTCGAGGGCGGAGGAGGGCGAGAGCAGAACCTGCTTTTCGGTCTCCATCGTCGCGCGGAAGACGCGGCGCGTTGCGGAGTGCGAACGGAGCCGGACGTTCGCGGTCGGTTCATTGCGCAATATGCGGCAAAATGGTGGGAGGGTCTGTGTGCCCCGTCCACTTCCCTCCCTCTTGGCGTGTGATGATGAAGAGATGCCCCCAGGCCTCGACCCCAGGCCGGCCAGGCGGCCAGGGCAAGGGCGGAGGGCGAGGGCGGAGGGCGGAAGGGAAAGCGGCGGGAGGGAGCGGACGGACGGGTTGGAATGCACCGCTGCCCTCGTAGATAGACATAGATAGAAAGCATGAACCATCGAAAGGGGTCTGATCTCCAAAAAGAGCTCTCGGCCTGCCGCGCGCGCCCGCGCCCCGCCCCTTTTGCGCAGCAACACCTTAAACTTCATGGCCCTCCAAATTCGGGTCGGAGCGTAGCGGAGTGGGCCCGAGTTTGAAAAAGGCGACGGACGCTTGCGTCCTAGCCTCCAACAACGCCTCCCCGGCGCAGAGGGGCCCCCGGAGGGATGCTCAACCGCCCCACGCCACGCCGCTTGCGGCGGTCCTTGCGGCGGTCCTATTGCTATTCCCTCAGCTCGCGCGGCCACTTCTTATTCGCCAGTCCGCGCCCTTGTCGTGCCAGTGTGCTGTGAGAGACGCTTGCACTTGGAGCACTTGGAGTGCAGTTATCAACCTCACATCCAGGGCCGGGGAGCTCAGAAGCGCACCCAGCGGGCCGGATGATCGGGATCGGGTTACGGGCAGGAGAGCCCTAGCCCCGGGGGTGCGCGTTCGCAGGGAAAGGGCCTTAAAGTAAACACGGGTCTCCGAGGGTTGGTTCCGTGTACCGGGTTTCCCCTTAACTTCAGAACGCCCCCTCTACTCGGAGCTAGCAGACACGACACTGTACACCACGCACGTGCACAGGTCCTCACTCAGCATCCCGTCCCAGGGTTCCACCGCCCGCCTTCCCGCGGCTCCGGAAAGAATTCTCGGAAAGAATGCCTCGAAGAATTCTTATTCGCCGCAGTCGACGCGGCTCTGTCTCGTCTGTCGTCTCGTACGTGGGCGCCTCGCTGTGCTGGCGTTACGCCCGGATCAGCCTCGTAGCTACTCCCCATGTCCATCCTGGCGACCCTGCACTCCAGCTCCAGCGCCCCCAACGAGGCCGTGGCGAACCTCTTTGCGGACAACTCAACGTCGGGCGACACCTCAAAGCCGGCGTCACCATCTCGCAAACGCCGGCGCAGCAAGTCGCCTGCAGCAGTAGAGGCGGCGGCGGCGGCGCGGACGGCAGCCGCGGCTGCCGCGATGCTCGGAGTGAAGTCAGACCCATTGGCCGCCAGCAAGGCGCTCCTTCGCGCCCGCAACGCCGCCGCGCCGGCGCCTGCGCCGGCGCCGCCATCTGCGGCATCGCGTGCGGCGCAAAAGGCGCCGAAGAAGAGCGAAGAGGCGGGCGCGGAAGCTGCGGAGCGGGCGGGCGACGATCCGGATCGGCTGGCGAGGACCGTCTTCGTCGGCAACCTGCCTCCGGACACGTCGCGCAAGGCGGTCGCGAAGCACTTTGGAGCCTTTGGCCGCGTCGAGTCGGTCCGCATCCGCTCGGTCGCGTCTGCAAACCTCAAGCTGGAGCAGCGCGCGGCGGTCATCAAGAAGGCGGTCAACACGGCGGTGCGCGACGCGGTCAACGCCTACGTCGTCTTTGCCGACGCCGCGCCCGTCGAGGCGGCCGTCGCCACCAACGCCCAGCTCGCCTTTGGCCGCCACCTGCGCGTAGACCGGGCGGCGCCGCCGTCGGGCGGCGCGACGAGCGGCGCGGCGGGTGCGGAGGGAGGGGTCGGCGCGACGGGAGCGACGACGCACAAGCGGAGCGTCTTCCTCGGCAACCTCCCCTTCGACCTGCAGGAGGAGGCCGTGTGGGAGGCATTCTCTTCCCTCGGCTCCGTCGAGGCGGTCCGCCTGATCCGCGACCCGCAGACGCAGCAGGGCAAGGGCTTCGGCTACGTCACCTTCGCAGACAAGGTTGGCGTCGAGGCTGCGCTCGCGCGGCACGAGACGACGCTCGCAGGACGAACCATCCGCGTGCAGCGCTGCAAGAGCGCGGCGGCGGCGGCGAGCGCCGCGCAGCGAGCGGCCAAGGGCGGCCGGGGCGGCGGCGGCGGCGGCGTGGATTGGAAGAACAAGCAAGCGGCGGCACTGCGGCTCCAGCACAAGATCGCGGCGGGCGCCAAGGCGAAGGCGCGCGCCAAGGGCGGCATCGGCAAGCAGCGAAAGGGCGGCGCGTCGAAGAAGGGCAAGGCGGGCGAGGCAAACAAGAAGGGCGTCAAGGCGAAGGCGCGCGGCCAGACGGCGAGCCTGGCGCCGTCGCAGCTGGCACAGATTAAGGCGCGGAAGAGGACGGCCGCCAAGAGCAAGTGACCGGGCTTGCTGTTCCCCACACTGTTAGCTTCTAATTGAGTTGTCACTACAAATTCTCGCGCAGAGTGCGTGACGACGACGTCGACGAGAGGACGCGTTGTCAACCAACGGGCCGTTGTGACGCGAGAGACAGAGAGTCGCGAAGAGCCCCGCGCGCGGCCGCGCGAGATCGGCATGACTGGTGTTTTGGACACATGGACATTTTGTCCATGTGTCCATCCATGTCCAACTGCATGTGCATATGTGCATGTCCAAGTTTGACTTGTGAGCATGTGAGATGTGAGACATCGACGCAGGGACGCGCATCCCTTCCCTCACCCAATACTCCCCCACCACTGGGAATGGGACACCGCCAACAGAACCACGCCCAGCGTGCTCCAGCAGCGCAACCTTTCATGCCACCTCGCGGTCGTCCCACTCTCGTAGTTCTCTCTCCTGTCGCTTCATCCTCGCTGTCGCGTCGCTCTTCTCTGCCTCGTTCTGCGATGCACGCCGCCCTGACCCGCCGCCGCCGCCTGCCGATCCCCCTCCCTTGCTCTCGCGGCTTCTCCCGCCTCTCGGCGCAACTCCGCCCTCCTCGCGGCGTATTTTGGCCCCTCGAGTTTATTGCTCTACGTGCTGTGTGGCCGCGCGCCTCTTCTTTCCCGCGTGACTCATCATTCGTCAGCAACTATTATACGGCCGAACAAGCACTAGTACGAGCAGAGGCAGAACCGCAGGCGCGGGCTGGTACCGCCATGACGCAGCCCTTGTACGGGCCGCCCGCCGGATCCGTCATGACACAGCCCTTGTACCTGCCGGCGAACCCCATGATGTCGTATGCTGCAGCAAACTCGCCTGCGCTGCTGCTCTCTGATGACCCGACCGTGGCAAATGTGAGGACCGTCTGCTCAGCCTCTGCTGCCCTGGTCGTCCATATGTGCCCGGGGGAGAATGATTGCAACCCCAATCAAATCGAGATTGGCGACACGGCGAGATAGACCGCAGCGAAGATTCAGCACCTCCAGCGTAGAGGCACTGCACGCGCATCATCGTCGAATAGGTGAACATGGATGTTTGCCTCGAAAACCTATCGTTTCGCCCCAGAGCTTGTTGGCACGACAATCCAAGCGATCTTAGCGCGACGTCATGCGTGCCTGCAGAACCTGTCCACGCTCAACTCCTGAAGGACTCGCAGATGGTCGTCTTTCTCCAGGATACTAGCGCGCCCAGGAGGGGGAGGGCGGGCCAAATCGCATTCCCTGATAGACTGGCCGAGCCGAGGGACTCACGCCAGCCTACGCCGGCTCGATCCAGGCCATGACTTCAGCACTGACGCCCGAGAACTTTGTCGGACTGCTCGAGTATCAGAGCTTCAAGGAAATCGACGGCTCCGGCGCCTCCTTTGCCCTCGAGGCGTCGGAGCACTGCGTCAACCAGACCAGCTGCGGCGTGATCAGACTAACCAACGACTTGCCCCTGGGCCAGCTGCCGGTGGCCGCTTGCATCCACTAGATAGTGTATCGTCAACGGCTCAGCACTGTAGCACGCCCTCCGCAGGTGGCAATCGACAGCTTCCGCACCGTTGCCGGCACTCTTGCGGGCAATCCCGATCAGGGACCGGACATACCCCTCGACTGCACCGATTACAAGAAGTGCTCAAGGTGTCTGGTCACGATCTCTAGCGTCGCGCGCGCAGAGGCGCCCTATCAGCGACTTATCAGCGGCTCGAGCAAGACAGCGCTCGAACACCAGCTCTTCTACGTTGGCGCCCGAACTGGCAGCGCAGACGTAGAGATTGACGACGAGATGTGCTACCCAGGCATTACCGGAGGAGCTGCAGGCTTCACGGTCGCTGCGGTGAACGTCAGTTCCGTCGACGCCTTCGTTGGCGTCGAACAGGACCCGCATCTGCATTTTGCGCACGGCGGACGCGCCGATTTCAGGGGCCGGCACGGCCAAATCTACACCTTCTTCTCGGCGCCCGGCCTCGCCGTCAATCTCAAGACGGAGAATGCGACCTTCCCGCTCGACCGGAAGCTGGACGGCAGTGCGCCGCTCATCGTGCACGGGAGCTTTGTGACCGAGATGCACCTGGTGGCCCTCGTGGGTGGCTCCAAGCGCAAGTGGGCCAACGTCTCCTTTTGGGCGTCGAGTCTGGGGGAGAATAACTGGGGATGGGACGTGGTGACCGGGACCTGCGGCGGACACCGCTTTAAGCTGGGTAAGGGCGGGCAGAAGGGCTGCGAGCAGCTCATGATCAAGGTCGACATGTCGCGCGCGTCCTTCACCGCCGGCAATCTGACCGTCGAGGTCGCCGGCGCGCCGACTCAGGCACGCAAGGGCCCCGAGCACCGCCTAGATGTCAGCTTCACGCTGCGCGGCGACTATGTGCAGCGGAATCTGCCTCATGGCGACTACTTGCTGACAGCGCGGCCTCTGCCGTCCCGCGCGGAGTCGAACGCTCGCGCGAGCTCCTGTAGGCATCTTTGGCCAGTCCTTCTCCTCCCCGGAGCCGAGAAACGGCAAGACTGACGTCTACCCCGACGACGGCGAGTTCACCACGTCCGCGATGGGCGAGGGCGCAATCGAGGGCCAGGCCTCATTCTACGAGGTGCCGTCCCCTGCCCCCACGCCGGTCCGGAGAAGGCGGCCTGTGCGGCGGGAGAAGAGCTCACTCACGCCGGCTTCTCCTCCCACTCAGGTCCCCGGTCCGTTCGAGATCGACTTTCTGTTTTCGCGCTTCCACGCCAAGCCTAACCTTCCCTCGCAGACGCCGTCGACGCCGCTTCCCGTTCCCGTTGGCACCGCCTCCGCCTCGAGCGGGGCGCCGTGGGTGTAAACACATGTAGTACAGGGCACTCAAAAAGAATTCTTTTTCCGCCATCTGAGCCGAGCGCAGCGCGGACTCGTTCCTGTTCATAGCCTAAACATAGCTGCGCGGCACACTTGTCACTTGGAGCACTTGGAGTGCAGTCATTAACCGCACATCCAGGGCCAGGGAGCTCAGAAGCGCACCCAGCGGGCCGGATGATTGGCATCGGGTTACGGGCAGGAGAGCCCTAGCCCAGGGGGTGCGCGTTCGCAGGCAAACCAAACTATTTTTTTGGAGTCACTCTTTGCCAGCTCTTCGCTTGCGGCTGAATGAGCTCTAGCAACCAAGGCTCGCGACTCGACGCGGTCGCGTCGGACGCGCGGCGCGCCGCCCTGACCATGGGTGGGCTCGACGCGGCGGCGCGTGACACGGCGCTCGCTGCCGTCCGAAAGCAGCTCGAGAACCAGCGCGCCGTCATCGAGGCCGCGAACGCGCTCGACATCGCGGCGGCCACAAAGGCGCAGCTAGACGCGCCGCTGCTGCGCCGGCTGGAGGTGCGCGGCAAGAAGTTTGACGCGATGCTTGCGAAGCTCGACGAGGTGCGCGCCGTCGCCGACCCGGTCGGTGCGGTGCAACTCGCGACGCGGCTCGACGACGGCCTCGACCTCTACCGGGTGGCGTGCCCGATCGGCGTGGTGGCCGTCATCTTCGAGTCGCGCCCGGACGCGGCGGTCCAGATCTCGGCGCTCGCGATCAAGTCGGCGAACGCGCTCATCCTCAAGGGCGGCAAGGAGGCGGCCCACACCAACGCCGCGATAGTGTCCGCCATCCAAGCCGGCCTGGCCGCTGCCGAGGCCGAGTCGGGTCGCTCCGCCGAGGCGGACGGCGGAGGCGCGGTGCCGAGCGCGGCGGTGCAGCTCGTCGCCTCGCGCGACGAGGTCTCTGCGCTGCTCGGGATGCACGGCAAGGTCGACCTCATCGTGCCTCGCGGCTCGAACGCTCTCGTGTCACACATCATCAACAACACGAGGAGCTAGTGGGTGGGGGAGGTGGGGGGGAGAGGGAGGTGATGCTTCACTCACAACGAGCGATGAGTACTTGATAGGATCCCGGTCCTCGGCCACGCCGACGGCATCTGCGCCGTCTACCTCGACGCTACCGCAGATGAGGCTCCGCTCCAGACACTTCCGAGACACCTCCTGGACACTTCCGAGACACCTCCTCTAGACACCTCCTAGACACCCCCTGGACACGCTCCTAGACACCTCGAGGGCGGCGCCACCGGCAGACGAGGCGCCGCCTGCACATGCTCTCTCGGGCACCCTCTTCGGACCTTCCCGCACCCTTCCCGCACCCTTCCCGCACCCTTCCCGCACCCTTCCCGCACCCTTCCCGCACCCTTCCCGCACCCTTCTCCGAGCCGTTGGCACAGGCGACTGCGCGGCGCGTCGTGCTCGACGCCAAGACGGACTACCCCGTCGCGTGCAACGCGGCAGAGACGCTGCTGCTGCACGCCTCGCTCCTCTCCTCGCCCACGTGGAGGGGGGTGGCGCAGGAGCTGATCGCCGCAGGCGCGAGGCGGCGGCGGGGGCGGCGCACACACCCCTCACGCCCCTCGCACGCCTCTCTCACGCCTCTCTCGCACCTCTCTCTCACCCCTCTCTCTCACACCTCTCTCTCACCCCTCTCTCGCACCTCTCTCACACCCCTCTCTCTCACACCTCTCTCACACCTCTCACACACCCCTCTCACACCCCCCTCACACACCCCTCCCGCACCTCTGCCGACGCCGAAGCCAAAGAGCGACTTGCCCCCGCGGCTGGCCACCCGCAGGCGTCACCCTCAAGTGCGACACGAGGTCGAGCGAGGCTCTCGCCGCTGCGGGGCTGCCGGCGGGCGGAGTCGTCAGAGCGAGCGAGGTGCTTCCCGCCCGCCTTTGCGGCGGAGGGTGCGAGACCTCCGCGCACCTCCCCCCCCCCCCCCCCCCCCCCCCCCCCCCCCGGGACGCTCTTGAGGCTGCGTGCGGCGGCGCGCCAGGCGTCGACTCGGTTCGCCGACGGGCAGCGGTACGGCTTTGGGGCCGAGGTTGGCGTCTCGACCAACCGGATCCACTCTCGCGGCCCGATGGGCGTGGAGGGGCTGCTCATCTACAAGTACCTCCTGCTCGGCGGGGGCCACGTCGCCGCAGACTACAGCGCCGGACGCGCGCACTTCCGCCACACGCCGCTCCCGCGCGCGCTGCCGCCGCCGCTCGCCGCCTCGGGGCCCCCGCCCTCGGACAAGGGAGGGGCCGCGCTGCGAGCGCCGCTCCTCGCGGCGGCGGCCGCGTGCGGCTTCGCGTGCGGCGTGTTCGTCGCGCGCGCCGCCGCCCGCTGATGGGAAGTGCTAGGGCGGAGGAGCGGCGGCGTGCCGCGCCAGGGACGCGGGCGCGGGTAGCCTCGCCAGGTCTGCTCGGAGCCATGGTGACCATCGGATCTCGAGTGCATGGTTCCGAGCAAACTGACGCACCGAGAGGCTACAGCAGAGCCGTAGTCTCCCACAGAGGGGTGCGCGTGCCCCGCGTGGCCTCAAAGCATGGGGGGAGAGACCCAACAACGTGCACACTATAGACCGCGGGACAACGTGATGCGGTTTTTGCGCCATATCAATAACGATTTAAGATTTTGAATTTTAAGTTGTTAGTTGTCACAAAACAAACCTCTGTGCCTCCTAGTAGCTAGTTGTCTCTTGGAGCACTTGGAGTGCAGTCATCAACCGCACATCCAGGGCCGGGGAGCTAAGAAGCGCACCCAGCGGGCCGGATGATTGGCATCGGGTTACGGGCTAGAGAGCCCTAGCCCCGGGGGTGCGCGTTCGCAGGGCCATAACACGGGTCTCCGAGGGATGGTTCCGTGTACCGGGTTTCCCCTTAACTGCAGAACGCACCCTCTACTCGGAGCTAGTGGACACGACACTAACTACTTATACGAGAATACATACCGCCCCCACGCAACTACTCGAAGATAATACGAGAATACGCAGCTGCGAGACGCCTATAAAGAAACAGCGAGGTAAAGTTCGGCGGCTATGATAAACCGAAAGTTGTCGTAAAACGCGGGCGAAAGCAAAGCAGAGGGCGGGCGCTTTCTGCCGCAGCGATGCCCGCAGCCTGTCGAGCAGCTTCCGCGGCGCACATGCGCCGCGGGGTTGAACGACAGCCGCGCCTCTCGAGCCACCCGTGCCACGCGCGGCGACGCGCACCCTGCGCGCACTGGCAGTACTGCACCAGCCAGCACGGCGTGGAGCAATGCATCCAGGGCATTGTGTTGGGCGCCAGCCAGCATGCCTCAGCACAGAGCAAGAGCGCATGCTGCGCACCCTGGCGCAGCACCAGCTCGCCTCCAATCAGGCACTCTCACCACTGCACAGCCGCCCACGAGCGCCCGCAGCTGCACTGCTCAACGCTCAAGCTCAGGAGCCTCCCCTTGTTGTCGCAGCTTTGTGCAGTGCAGCGTGCGAGCAGCGCAGCGCCAGGCAGACCCGTGGCACGCCCGGGCGGCTGTGGGACGGAGGCCCGCCGAGCGAGTGCGAGCTGCATCGGCGGCCATGTCTCCCGCAGCCAAACACACGTCATATCTTCCAGCTCTAAGGGGCCCACACCCGCGAGCATTCCGCAGGTCTCGATACTCGAAACAAAGAAAATAAAAGAAATTTATCGAGGGAAGGCCGGCACACGGACACGCCGCGCACAGTCCACACACAGGGATTAAATAATAAAGAAAACCGGTGTTTCTTTTTCTGAGCCGGCATACACAGTGCGATCTTGGCTCCCACCCGTGCACGGATCGCACGCCCGGCGCATATATGTATATATGCTCGCCGTTGTCGTCGCCGCCGCCGGCTTCGCCGCCCGCGCTCGAACGCTAACACCAGAATCGTCGCGCTGGCCGCAGCCGCACACGTTGGCACGCCGGCGGCAGCTGCAGGTCGCAATGCTGGAGGAGGAGGCGGGACCTTCCCTACCGTCCATTCCCACGGTGCTGTACACCGCTCTCGGTGCGACGGCGGTGTACGGGCTGTCGGAGAAGGTGCCACGCCTCCTCTCCGACGGGCCGAGCGAGGCTCTCGCCCCGCTGGCGCTCGACGTCTTCTTCTTTGGCTTTGCGTGCGTCTCGCTCGCCAAAGGGATGGGCCTGATCGGTAAGATCGACTACGCGGCCCTCGACGGCCGAGACGTCGGCTCTCTCGCCAAGGAGGCGGGCGCCTGGGCCGCGGCGGGCGAGGTGCCGACCCAGTCGCCGGACGGCTTTGAGGTGGCGACGTTTGCGGGAGGCTGCTTCTGGGGCACCGAGCTGCACTTCCAGCGCATCCCGGGCGTCGTCGCGACCTGCGTTGGCTACACGCAGGGCGGCGTTCCGGCGCCCACCTACGAGCAAGTGTGCTCTGGCACGACGGGCCACACCGAGGCGCTGCAGCTGCTCTTTGACCCGTCCGAGTGCAGCTACGAGAGCCTCTGCGCCAAGCTCCTCTCGACGGTCGACCCGACGGCGCGCAACCGCGTCGGCAACGACCGCGGCACGCAGTACCGCCACGGCATCTACTCGCACACGCCCGAGCAGGCCGAGGCGGCGAGGCGGGCGCTCGAGCTCGAGCAGGCGAAACAGTCTGCGCCGGTGGTGACGGAGATGCTGCCGGCGCGGGTCTTCTACCCCGCAGAGAACTACCACCAGCGCTACCTGCAGAAGGGCGGCCAAAACGCGGCGAAGAACGCGCCGGAGAAGGTGCGGTGTTACGGGTGAGCGCTCGCACGTCACGCTGGGCTTGGATGTAAAAAGAAAGAAAACAGACGGCCCAAAGGAGGGAGGGGAGGGATTGCCTTCGCGCGCATTCGATTTTTGTTTCCTTTTGTCCGCATCCCGGCGGCCGCATCCCATGCTCTTCGCTCGCTCTTTCTCCAGGCGGCCAAGCCTGGCAGGCCACAGCGCCACGATGGCATCCAATACGCCAAAGCGCGACGTCCCTGCGCCAGAGTGGAAGGCTGACGTGCCTGCTTGGGAGAGGTGTGTGGGTCACACATCGAAACACCATTGCACAAGATTCACATCCGTGCTCCTGCGATAGGCTCGTATCCCTCGTGACGACGCCCGGCACAGGGCAGGTTCGCCTCTGCTACTTGCTTCGGTCTCACTATGGCCCGCTGATCGGATCGCTCCCACGCCGCGCAGGTGCGCCGAGGCCTCAAGCCGGGCGAGCGGCGCAGCTGGAGCGACCCGCAGCTGTGGACCCATGTCGCCAAGAGATAGATGGGCAACGCCCAGCTCGCAGCGCCACACCCACAGGCGGACCGGTGGAGTCTCGTCGCCGAGAGATGGCCACCGGACGCATCATTTTGGCGGACGATAGCACGGAGGTAGGTAGAGCACGGCGGGCGATAGCACGGAGGCACCTCATCCAGGACAGCAACTGTGATAGGTGGCTTTTGTGCCTGGCATCCTCGTCGCGGCGACCCGCGCCGCGCCGCTGCCGGAGCTGGTCGCAATACAGAGCGCCGTGCTCTCGCTCTCGCTGCTCTACCACTGGAACTACGAGCGACCCGGGCTGCTGGCGCAGGGTGAGGGGCTGAGCGCCAAGCTGCTCTTCCTGTACGGGGCGGCGCAGACGCTGCGCAGCCCCGACGCGGCGCTCCTCGCCGCAAACAGCGGCTGCTTCGCCCTCACCCTCGGCGCCTTTGTCGTCACCAACTTCGACAAGCGGCTGTACGAGCGGTGGCACCCGTGGGGGCTGCACGTCGTGCCCGGCGTCTGGTCGACGCTGGTGGCGCTGCACAACGCGCCGCTCCTCCCGGCGGCGCTGGTGCCAAGCGGCCCGCTCCTGAGCGTGCCCGGGATCTCCGCGTGAGGGGCGCGTTTTAGGAAAGCGGCGCGCAGCGCGGTGGCTGGCACTCGCAGCGCTTGGAGCGGTGCGAGGTAGGTGGGTGTGTTACTTCCTCTAGCAAGCTCACAAGATGCGAGTTTGGGGACAACGGTGCCACAAGATGCGAACTGAGGCCTCGGACGACTCACGGCACGCTCCCCATATCAGCCGAGAGCCCGAACCCGCTGGAGCAAACGTGCGAGTCGAGCAAAACTGCCTCAAACACAGCTGGCCGCGTTGTGCATATGCTCGCACTGCTGTCTGCCGCCTTCTTGCCGGCGCTGCTCCGGACTCCAGGTTTGTCAGCAAACCCTCTCCGGAGACATCTCCGCTGCCGGCAGCCCGGCTGTGCCTTCACTGAGGCCGATTACCGGGCGGATCCTGCTGACCTCAGCGCGGCTGTGCTACCCGAGTTCACGGAGCAGCACGTCTACCTGCACTTTCACGGCCGCGGCGGGCCCGATCGAGAGGACGCCGACCTGCAGGCGCGCATCATCGCGCAGGACAAGGCGGCGGGCCTCGACCGCTTTGTGCACGTCTTCGTGTGGAGGCGGTGGCTCGACGCGGCAACGGCGGAGCGCATCTCGTACACCGGCCAGGCGCTCGGCCGCAAGCTCGGCCAGGCGCTCGCCCAACGCAAGGGCTTGCGCTCGCTGCACGTGAGCGCGACCTCGGCGGGCGGGTTTGCGGGCAACGAGTGCATCGCGGCTTACGTTGCAGCAGCGGGCCCGGAGCGTGCGACCACCCGGCTGACACTTTGCGACCCGTTCTGCGCGCGCGCGGACGAGGTGGGCGCGCCGTGGGACGATGGGCGACGCACGTCGGGAGCGCGCCTCTTTGGGCGCGATGCCGACTTTGCCGAGCACTTTCTCAACTCGGACGACATCGTGCCGTCGACCAACTTCGCCCTGCCGCTCTGCTACTGCTACGACGTGACGGGCTCCGCGGAGCGCGCCTCCTTCCCACCGCCCAGCTCGGGCAACTTTTTGCAGGACGTCGGCTTGCGCCTGCTCGGCTACCACAACTGGCCCATCGGCTACGTCGCGCGCCACTACGAAACGCGTCTCGACGCCGGCGGGTCACCCATGCTGCCGAGCCATAGCGAGCTGCCGCGAGGGACCGTCTTCAAGGTTCCGTGACAACCGCGGCCTTGCTGACGTGGCACGTGTGTGAGTGAGTTCTTATATCGACATGCAATACACAACCATATGTCATGTCACCCAGTCCCAGACACCCCTTGGCCTTACTAGTATACCCACACCCCGCCGCGCACGCGCGCCGTTTCGGGCCGCTACGGCCGCGCCGCGAGAAAATTGAAGAATCTTATCTTCGGCGACGCGGTCTCGGGCGGCAGACGGCGCCACGAGGGCGCTCCGGAAGGCTGGAGCGCCGGGGGCCCCAGCCCTCCGGAAACTGGGGCCGCGCCGCTCCGGAAAACGCGGATTTGGGGGGGGAAACGCAGAAAAGCAAGAAGCGCACTCGGC